CAAAATCTCCTTAAACTGATAAGCAACTTCAGCAAAGTCTCAGGATACAAAATCAGTGTGGAAAAATCACAAGCATTTCTATACACCAATAACAGACAAACAGAGAGCCAATCATGGGTGAACTCCCATTCACAGTTGCTTCAAAGAGAACAAAATACCTAGGAATCCAACTTACAAGGGATGTGAAGGACCTCTTCAAGGAGAAATACCAACCATGGCTCAACAAAATAAAAGAGGACCCAAACGAATGGAAGAACATTCTATGCTTATGGATAGGAAGAATCAATATCGTGAAAATGGCCATACTGCCCAAGGTAATTTATAGACTCAATGCCATCCCCATCAACATACCAATGACTTTCTTCACAGAATTGGAAAAAAACTACTTTAAAGTTCATCAACCAAAAAAGAGCCTATGTTGCCAAGATAATCCTAAACCAAAACAACAAAGCTGGAGGCATTATGCTACCTGACTTCAAACTATACTACAAGGCTACAGTAACCAAAACAGCATAGTGCTGGTACCAAAACAGAGATTAGACCAATGCAACAGAACAGAGCCCTCAGAATTAATACCACACATCTACAACCTTGATCTTTGACAAATCTGGCAAAAACAAGAAATGGGGAAAGGATTCCCTATTTAATAAATTGTGCTGGGAAAACTGGCTAGCCATATGTAGAAAGCTGAAACTGGATCCCTTCCTTACACCTTATAAAAAATTAATTCAACGTGGATTAAGGACTTAAATGTTAGATCTAAAACCATAAAAATCCTAGAAGAAAACCTAGGCAGTTCCATTCAGGACATAGGCATGGGCAAGGACTTCATGACTTAAACAGTTCTTAATCACTGAGATAATATTAAGCAGAATACCTTCATTTAGATGGTAACCTGGGCTTCTAATCCCCAAAAGTGAAGAGTTCCATTCCTGGCATGGCAAGGAAATTCAATCAACTAAAGAACATCTATTTTTTAGTAGCCCCGAATTCTGAATGGTATATCCTTTATATAGCTATGATAGGCTAATACAATAGGAAACTTTCAGACTAACCAAGTCACTTAAATATTTATCCATTGTGTCAAAATCTACAAAGTTCCAGCACCTTCTGGTCTAGGAACCAACAAACTGTGGCTTGTGTGCCAAATCCAGCATATATATATATATGTGTGTGTGTGTGTGTGTGTATATATATATATGGTCTATCTTGGAACACAGCCATGACCATTTGTTATATATTGTCTGTGGCTATATTTGTGCTACAATGACAGTGCCAAGTAGTTGTCACAGAGCCTGTATGGCCTATACAGCCTAAAATATTTTCTATTTGGTCCTTTACAGAAAATTTGCTGATAACTGTTTTCTTGCTTACATTTTTGTCAGATAAATATTTTATTCAACGTGTATATTAAGCTGAGTCAAATATAGTTTTAATGTTTAGAAGTGAACCCTACTATTAATACATACTGAACTTATACAGTTTTTGTTAGTAGATAGTTCTATAGTGTGGCAATGAATTATAATAGTTGACTACAAAAGTTTAACTAATTTGATGGTATCAATGATTAAACCCACACATCAACTCACCCAATTCATAATTACCTTTAGAGACCTTCTCGTCTCTTAGGGACTACAGGACTTTCTCTATTACATTTCCCAAGATAGACCTTGCTAACTCTTTTGGCCTTTTGTCCACACAGATCTTAGACCTGTCTATGCATCTTTCTTAACCAATTCAAGACTTTTTCAACTAAATGATTTCAAGCAATTATCAAATGATTGGTAAAAGAAATGTATTTGCCATTCAGGCCTTAGACTGCATATGATATTTATAATTCATTATTTAGTTAGCAAGCCTGCTGTACTTCATATTTGGAATGCTGAATTATAAGCAAACTTTTTAAATTTAAACCCAACATGAAAAACATAGTTGTTGCATTGTAAATTACTTAGAGGGAATGTTAGCCTCCCTCTAAGTACACTACCAGGCACTATCCGAGAGCTCTGTCCTAAAGGAACAAAAAAATAGTAGAACAACTCAAGATTATTAAATATCACAATTTATTGATCAACTTCAAATACATAGTGAGAAGCTAGGGCAAAGAGAAAACAGATTTACAAGTTTAGGACAGAGTACCAAGGAGGGTGGAAGTCCCACTATATATGAATCCTGAAGTACATAATATTAATATGTTCTGTCTCTCTGTTGCATCAACTTTCTCTTTTAATGGTGAGGATACTAAAACCAGATTTGGAGTATAAGCATGGGAGTCCAAAATACAGAAGGGGTCTGGTGTCAAAATTAATTCTTGCTATATTGGAGAGACACAGGGGAAAGTATACCTGGTCACAGCTGTAGAGAACCAGAGGCTTGCTGAACAGATGTGTCTGTCATTTGTTTTCTTCATGTTGCCAGCAGGGGGACAAATGAGATACCTCTTTGACCCATATAAATGTAGTATGTTATGCACATTTAGTGGCTTATGTATATTTGATAATTCCATCTCTTCCTCTGTTCAATAAATGCTTTCCTTGATATCTGACATGTTACTCTACTTCCTTAAACTTAGTTTCATCTATGCTTGTCGTTTATTTCCTTTATTAGCAAAGCCAAATGTCCTTAAATAATATGGAAAACAGAAATAGCAAAGCAATACTTTCCAGCAAGATATTATCTGCCAGAGAAATTTCAGAGTCCAAGTAATCCTACTGTCCATTTGACTACTCTGCTGATGCCCCTGTGGCTGACTTGTACTTCTACTAAACAAACTGTGAATATGCTGGCTGCAGGGCTAAGATGGAAAGGCAATGAAAGTGGATAAAGAAACATTCCTAAATTAACCAGTATAGATATGGTTTCACAAACTCATCACAGCATTTAAAAATAATTTTTCAGATATCTATGAGGACATTGCAACATTAACCTACATTCATCTTTCAAATTGGTTCTGCTCCCTAGTCTATATCCAAAGATATATAAACCCTTTTCATGTGTATTTCCATTCTAATTCCATAGAAGTCTCCAATAACTGAATTATTTAATGTTAATGTGGCAGAGTATGTGAAAATACCCACCACTTATTTCAGAGCCTTCTCTGTTATGTAGGTTCCTCTTTCCACAAATGTCCTAGTCCTCAACTGTGTAGAATGAAGACAGGATTAGGGCAGAGGAACACCTGCCAAACTGGCACTTTAAGCCTAGGTAGTCCCAAGCTCAGCTCTCTTGTACTGGCCTCATTCACTCTTTGTTTTAGAGACAGGGTTTCACTCTGTTGCCCAGGCTGGAATGCAGCGGTGTGATCGTAGCTTACAGCAGCCTGAAACTCCTGGGCTCAAGGGATCCTCCTGCCTCAGCGTCCCAAATAGCTGGGACTACAGATATATGCCATCACATGCAGCTAATTTAATTTTTTTTTTTGTAGAGACAGGGTCTTGCTATGTTGCCCAGGCTGGTCACAAACTCCTGTCCTCAAGCCGTACTCCCACCTCGGCCTCCCAGCATGCTGGGATTACATGCATGAGGCACTGTGCCCAGTCTTCCTCATTCACTTCTATATAACAGTATAGACTTTCTCCACTGTAAATACTCTACTTTGAATTTTCTTCTTTATCTCCTGCCTTGCTTCTGCTCCCTACTCCATTGCAGACATGCGGCAAGCAGGCCATCTAGCAATCTAACTCAGTTTTGTGCTCATAGTAAAACTCCAGTGCTATTATTCAGTATACACTTATAAAACAGAAAGCTACTTAATCCTGAAGAATCTCTTTATTCAGATGAATAATTTTTATCTAAAACTCTAGGACCTGTCTCCAATTTTAGTATCCCTTATCTGCTCCTAACCTATCCCTTACTTTACATGTAGCAAATATATTTGTCATTAATACCGTCAAGTAGATCAAATAACACATTCCAGCAAATCAAAGGAGTATAAAGTTTAATACCAGTTCACCCTCTACTCTGCCATATAGATTAGCTTTATTACTGTTTGAAAATGTCATTTACAAGCTCAACAGGGCAAATTGTAAAACTTAGTGGGATATTTATAGCAACATTTTCAGGTCTGATGAACTTCCCCCTCATCTCAGTATGCTTATGTCCTTTTGTTAATACATCAAACTAACACCAGCAACAGGTCAAATAAAACTCTTACAGCTAGTCAAACTTCAGTGACTTAAATCAGGGCTTTTCCAAAAGTTCGTGTATCTGTGAATCTCTTAAAGATTCCTGTTAAACTGTGGATTCTGATTCAGTGGTTCTCAGGTAGGACCAGAGATTCTGCATTTTTCGCAGATTCCCAGGTGATGTTGAGGTTGTTCATCTAAGATTCATGTAATTAAAGCAAAATTTTAAAATATTTATATTAATCCTAGCTATGTCACAGCTCCATTCATGAGTATGTAGAATGAAATGTTTTGCAATGTGTAGATTATACTACTAGCATCTGGGAACAGTTGGAAAAAGGAAACAGGAGTGATATGTAAAAAAGTCATGAAAGGATAATAGCTCATATAAAACTGTAGTAACAATATCAAACAATATGGAAGTCAACTACATTCAAAACTAAAAATATAAAGCAAAATCATTTTTCTAATAACAAAAGTATTTATTTTCAGAAATATTTTAAAATGCAGCTTTCCTTTGAACCACAAAAGGAAAAAGCAGAGTGTTCCTTTTATGTATTTGATACAAATATAAAACATAACTCAGTTTTAGTTCATTAGCTCAGCTCAGTGAAAATAACTCAGGAAAAATCAATCATAGGTAATGCTGTTGGTATATGCAGGAAACCAGAAGGGACAACATTGAGTTCAAAATCCATTTAGAATTGTAGACAGGCCACAAGAGGCAGGTGAAGAGAGCAGCCGAAGAGTCACTAATACATTGGACTTCAAACAGAAAAACTGAAATGTCTGTTGGTACACACCTCAAACAGAAAAACTGAAATGTCTGTTGGTACACACCTAAAACAAACTCCAACTAGAAAGATAATTATGTAGCTCAGACATTGATAACAGGTTAAGAAATTTGTACATGTTTACTTTTTTTTTTTTGAGATGCAGTCTTGCTCTGTCACCAGGCTGGAGTGCAGTGGCGTGATCTTGGTTTACTGCAACCTCGGCTTCCCAGACTCAAGCAATTCTCCTGTCTCAGTCTCCTGAGCAGCTGGGACTACAGGCATGGGCCACCACACCCCGCTAATTTTTGTATTTTTAGTACAGATGAGGTTTCACCATGTTGGCCAGGATGGTCTTGATCTCCTGACCTCATGATCCACCTGCCTCAGGCTCCCAAAGTGCTGGGATTACAGGCGTGAGCCACCATGCCTGGCCATGTATACATCTTAACACAAATATTTTCAGAGATAACCATTGTGTGCATAGCTATATTTTTTTCTTGAAATGATACCCACCTTCACCCCTTTCTGTCAGAACCGAAAGCTACATAGCTTCTTCTATTTCTTCATGCACTTGTTAGAAGCAATATGCATTAACCTATTTTCCGATGCTGTTGATTCTCTAATCTGCTAATCCATTTGCAGATGCTATTGATTTTCAAACCTGTTATGAGTAACTGCTATAATTCTGTGGTTAATAACCAACTTTGGAAAGAAAATGTGCTTCTACCAAAGGGTACAATTTTTCTAAGACTAAAACATATAAAATCATCCATGAACAATTGCAAGTGTCCAAACATTTACCCTTTCTGAACAACATTCACTTCACCAGGGCAAAACAAAGTCACACATGTAACATATTCCCCAAATTGCCCCACTCCCACCACAGTGCACATGCATGTGCACACACACATTTCCAAACCCCAGATTTCATGTAAAAAAACCTCCCCTTCTTTAATTGTTTTTCCTACTGCATATTTTTAATCTCGTTGTCTTTGTGTATGAATTCTTTCCTGTAAAAGGAATTATATTCCTTTTACAGAATTTGAGAAATGAAACAATGAGGAATGATAAAGATTATACATGTATTCAAACAATATTAAAGACATATAGGTCAAAACCTTTTCTGATATCTAAATGCTATTAGATCATCCCTGTATTAAGATTTGAGTAATGATTAGTCATAATATACAGGTCAATATGTATATTCTCATCCAATTATCTGTAGAAGTTTCTACATTATATAACTCAGTCCTACATGTCTTGATTAAAAAAAACCTTTATATTAGATGGACATGTCCACAAATATCCTAATATTCTAATGCAAATAAAACGTGTATTATCAGAATAACATATCTACAATGTTATCTTACATATTAATATCTTGGACAGATACTTTTATCCTCCCAGTTAAAAGGAGAGGCACTAACTATGCTTTAAGCACCTTCAGAGATTCAAAAGATCTTTCCAAACAGGTAGAATCTTGGTTTGTGGCTTTTCCAAAGGAATGCTCAGCATTTACCCTGGCAGCTCTCATAAGGAGGCTAAGTTATTTTCAATTTTAGTATCCAAATAGGCCAGTTACTACTCCTTTGTCCTGTATCCTTCTATGGGTAAAACACAAGATAGAATTTGGTTTGTCTTCCCTTTCTTTTTAGGAGGACTAACACTCTCAGAAATAAGTGAATCCCTGCTAAAGAAAGCAGGGTTACCTATTAATGTGTCTGCTTATGAAAAAGCGAAAACCTTTACAATTGTCCTACTGCTGTAAAGGATGAAACCAAATGTCTTTTTTGTTCCTCAATTAACTTAAAAAATTAGCCTAGAGTGGTCAAAATTTAGAAAGCGTATTTCAGCAAGAACTATGGATTTATAAAGAAATGTTGATTCAGATAAAATATACTTCAGACAGAAAATGAGGATAAACATTTTATGATACAACAGGAACTAGAAAACGCACAAGAATTAAAGGAAGAACGTTTTTTAATGGTTGAAACCAGTCTTTATGAGGCGATTATGATGCAAAAAATATTACAATGAATAACAATGCATATTCTACTCTTTGTAATATTTCATACAATAATTCCTTTATCATTTACATCTCTTAATGCTAGAAAAGCATTCTGAAGATGCCAAGCATAAGTTGCAACTGAGTACAAAAAACAGCAAAATTTACTCTATTTCCAGAAGAGTTGCAGAAAAGAGAGAGAATAAAAGTCCTTAAAATATGAATAGCTAAAGTGTGCTAAAATGTTGTCCATTTGCATGATCAGTGACAAAATATATAAGCCCATAAAGAAAAGAGTTATACTTGCTGTATGAAGGAATTCATAGAGAAATGTGAGTCATAAGCGAATTATTTATAAATGTCTTTCAAAATATTTGGTGTGCATGAAATGCAATATGTTGATGGTCCTGGAGACTGTTGCAATTGAAGGATGATGGTGTTTTCCCCTGGATGAGGATGGCAGGAATGCAGGGCCTAGGATTTGTTGAGAATGTCCACTCTTCTGAATTGGCCACCCAGAAACCAATTATTGAATCAGAACAACACAAAGAAACTGGTTTGTGCTTGAGCCAGGTCTGTAGAAATGGAAATCAATTCAGTTGTGGAAATGATGAATTTTAAAAGCTGCTGGAGTTTTTTGTGCAAGGTAGAGATTTTCATAACATCTCAATAATCCTTTTGAAATGTGCAGTTGCTTAATACAAAAAAAGAACTAGTGCCACCATTTCTTCAACTAAAAGATAAGGTGTGCTTTGTAAAAGTAAAGCATATCCAATTTTCATCCTGTAGGTCGGTATTACCCAGGGTCATGATGTAGCTGGTGCATAAATGTGAAGAATCATTTGCTGCCTGTAAAGTGGAAGAAATATTACTAATCAGAAAGCAGTGGAATATTCCAATGAATAATAGTTAGATTTTATATCTGAGATATCATACTTTTTATTAATCAGTTCAATTTCTCTAGCTGCAGAGAGAAGTTCTCTAATGGGCTTCACCAATAAGGCAAAACACATTCCTATTCCAGAAAGGCACATAAAAAGGGTGCTTCTCAACCCTCAAGACCAGCACACACCAGACAAGGAATGGTAGCTAGAGTACATCTGCCCTGGACCAGCATTTCCACATCCTTCAGATCAACTTCCATGTAAAGGTGTATGTACTACTTTCAAAAGGACCATTGGGTTATTTTCCTTGTGACCCCCTGAGTGCAACCACACATTAGCTCCACCATCTTACACTTTGCTCCTTCTTGCATACCCGTCTTCTTACTTGTTCCTATTGTTCACAAATCTGCCCAAAGATAAAATTTTTATGATATTAAAAGCTGAACTTTGCTTTAGAAAATCTACATCTTTTGTGTTTCTTCTAAATCTAGTAAATCAAGTAATCAACAGTTTATTCTCTGCTTGTAAAAAAAGGGCAGTAATTTTTCCTTATAAAAATCAAATATATAAGCAAAACTAATATATTCATTGACAAAGTTGCTCCACCAAGCCTTGAATTTTTCATTATAATTTAGCTATATATAGACCCAAGGAATCTGACATCCAAGAATCATTAAGCAATCATAAAAATGTATCACATAATTTTAATTCTGAATACTTACAAAACATGTTTATGACTTCTGCATTTCCTTTTATTAAGTATGCTTTCCCATTAGGACAAGTTTTTTTGTTATTTTGTTTTACTTTTCAGTGGATGATCTCTTCTATTACATAGTCATACAAATACCTTTGTTTCGTCATAATTTGTCAGTAGGCTAATGACAGGTATTGAAGGTAATATTTAATGTTTTATAATGTGAATATTTTAGGCTAGCATTTCGAAGACATTCTGTCCAAATAGTTTGGAGGCAGAATTATTGTCTTTTTGGTGACTAAATAGTAGTAGAAGTGATTAGAACCAAATATTAGGTTGCCTTCTCAAACACAAGCTCTCAATCTCACAAAAGGAAATTATGGGTCCCTAGATTCCACTTTAACTGATTTATGCTTTGGTAATAGACAATTCAAATTTATAATTTCATGGAAAACCTCTAGAAGATAGAATGGATGCTGATGAATCCAGGCAATTGGAAAATCATGAAATTGTATTAGGGATTAGATGAGATATAGAATCTTTAGCATGTACTGGCACATAGTAAACAACTAAATAAGTTATTATAGCACATATACTGCTTTTATTTACATTGCCTTGAGGTGAAGAAAAATAGGGAGAAAGTAAAAAATTCTCCCCCACAGGCGACACAAATGCTACCTGCGATAAATAAAAAAAGGTTTTCCATTTTATATATAAGAGTGCATGGACAATAATATCTGAAGCACAGAGGCCTAAAGTCTCTCTACAATTCTGCCAGAACTCTTGTACACGTCTCTTTTTTCCTCTAAACTCTGAGTACTTGGTTTTACTATGTCAAACACTATTTTCCCCTATTTCCTGATACTATCATATTCAAATTTTCGTTCAGGACTTTTCTGGATTTGGAAAATGCATGGCCAGCATGTCTACATGCAGCAATCCTGTTCTTATGAAACCATTTCCTAGTCAATTATTTTTAAATATCAGATAATTTAATATATAACTAGCGATATAATTGAGAAATGAACCAGTCAATTTTGGACAAGTTTTGCACAAGTGCTATATTTGTGCTAATGTTACAATGGTCACAAATACATCTTTTATCTCATTTCTCCCAGAATTAAAGGTATACTTTAGTGATCTGCTTGATAATATTCATAGATTTACTTATATTTTAAAATGATTATTGGCTAGACATGTCTAGAAATGTATATGGCCTAATGTATAACTTCTCTTTGATAAAATGAAAACAATATATAAGCTAATATTATTGAAGCAATATTTTTTGGTATGTACGTACTTATTGTTTTTGATCTGCATGCACAATACGAAATCATAAAAGCAACAAACATCACCACACCAACACTGAGTAAGATCATTTCTATCAGGCCAAGGAGGTTTATTTTTCCAGTTACTTGACTTCTGAACATCTTTGCCTTCTCATCACCAATGGTCCCAGTCTGTAATCAAGTTAATAATCAACATTATTTGGGTATATTAGTAAAACAAAATATTCAAACCCTTCAATTGCCTTTCACCCTTTTTTCTAACACCTCTATTGGTGTTAGTCATCAGTGTCTACAAGACAAGTCAATGGAATTTTGCAAGTCAAGAAAGGCAATTAAGTGCCAGATAGGGTGTAGCACTCTTCAATGTACTAGGATTCATTTGCTCTTCAGAACGATCTCAGAATGATTTCCCAATGGGTGTTTCCCCGTGACAAAAGGTCACCAGTTCCACTTGCTCCAAAGACTTATTCAATGCTTTTCCTACTTTATAGCTAATCAATGCATGGATTTATACTAAAAATCCCTTGTCAGGCAATAGGATAGACTGTCTTAAGACAAATGTTACAACAAGAAAACATGTTTAATAGATGAATAAAACATGTTTAATAGATGAATTTTTGAAGAAAATCTTTAGGAAATGTTTTCTAAAACCTGAAAACTAACGCAAACTTGATATTTTTGTACAATCAGGTTATCTCAAATAGGTTTAATAAATGTCTACTCATCCATATGGGAAATGGAAATACATATAGCTTTAAATACTATACATTCTTTTGGAACATCAAGAGCTTGTTTATTGTTTTAATAACTAACAGCTGAAAATACAAACCTCATTAAGCCAAAGAATAGGCACAATATAGTTCCTCTTCAGATGCTTTAATACTCTGTAATATACATTGAAAATAATTATGAACATATAAACTAATATTTATACATAACAAACTTTAAAATAAATGTTCAGATATTAGTTGCTGTTGCTAATTTGGTCTTGTTCCTGTAATGACTCATGCACATTTTAATATAGTTGTTTTTTATTTCCTTTGCTCTTATGAGTCTTCTAATCACATTGATTTTTTTCCCAAGTGTGGATTTTCCCTTTCAATAAATTCTTGGGAACTAAAATATGAATTCCAACAATTATTGTCATAGAAATTTTTGGGCAGCTAACAAAATGAGAGATGCTATCAAACGCTCAAATAAAACTATCCCAAAATCTGTGCAAGTGCCATTTCAATAAACACAAGATATGGTACTAAGCTATAGGTGAAATTTGTCATAAGCATTTAATAATGATTGTTTGGTGACATTAAGCGAAAGATAATTGATATTGGATGTTCTTTCCACTTACTTACATAGATTTACTCATGTTCTTACAAGAAGATACTACAGATTTTATCAAAATAACCATTTTCAAGAGACTCACTGAATTTTGTTTGATGGCTTGACCAATAGGTTGACCTGCAGCCGTTTTGCAAATTGTAAAGTGAATCCAGTTATCTAAAAAGAGAACAACTAAATAATTATCAACTTTTTAAAACATTCTTTTATACTATTCAAAACTTATTTTTCTTACAGCAGAAGAGAAGGTAGTAACTTAAGGTTAAACAGGACTACTTGAAACTTTTAAAACTCTCTATATAGTTATATTTATATACACAGGCATCCATATAGATACACAATTTATTTGCCCAATCGAATGTCAAGGTTTTAGTTAGATTTGTGATTTACTTGAAATGGTTTAAAGAAATCAACAACAAAATATGAGATCTCAGATAATTCCTGGTCAAATATATATGCTGTTAGAATCCATGTATCATTAGTTATAATACTACTTGTGTCATTGTTTAAAACATGACTAGTAAAATTCTAGAATTTCATTTACTTTTTGAAAAGGAAAATACAAAAATAAAGATTAAAACTGTTGTGCTATAACAATTTTATACATTTTAACAATAAGTATAGTCAAACTCACATACACTCACTCTTTGAATTTTACATAATATACAATAACTCCTCATATAAGCATAATTTGATATAAATATTTTAAGCCAATTAGAATCACTTCATAAACAACAATAGGAAAAAATTGACGTAAGTTTCAGTAACTTAAAAGAATGTGATTCAATAACTATGATTAGTGTTATCTCCAAGATTATTTTTATTTCAATTGTATTGTTTAAAATAGCAACCAAATCAGATCAATAATGTGTTTTCTTACAGGTTCAATATCCAAGTATGTCCTATGTTCTTCTTCATTTGGGTTTAATCCATCAATAGTTTCTGAAACGTCAGGACTTGCATATAGAAAATGAGGAAGTGAAATGTACACAGGTTTCCCTGAAGACAAGTTTTAAGAGTCAATTGGAATTAATAGCTTCCTTCATTTCATATATAACTCAAAAAATATTTCCACAAAACTAAAACTTCTTAAATTAAAAAAATACATATTTGGTTTTTAACATGGGTGGGGAAGAATTATGTCAGTTGATTTCTACTGTGAACCCCTTCAGTATTAATTTTCGATATGTAAAGTTTTGTTGATGAACCCAAAGTTTCAACTATATATGTTCAGCTTTCAGGCAGTAATATGTCTAGGGACTAAGAATTTATTTAACAGTAGTTTTTTTTTTTCTTCCTCCACACCCATGTTAGTATGATAAATATGTACAGTATAAGCTAGTCTCCAAATTTTATGTTTAACTCTAGCTTTAGATACATACTGAAAATACATTTACCTGTACCATTTTCTAGTGAAAAAAGTTAGAACAATGACAGATGGATAACAAGATGCACAAAGTGTTCTCGGAATTATTTTCATTTCACCCTAAATCTAAAAGCAGCCACAAGGAAATGCTGGTGTGGTTTTAACTAAATTTTGTAACACTGAAACACATATTTGGGACCTTCCCAAAACACAAAATCAGCACTAAAATTTTCTGCTACCATTCTGCCCTAATTATTTTCTTACTTTAATTTTAAATTTTGCTTGCAAAGGGATTGTGGTAAAGGTCTCATTTTAAAGAATATCACAAATTATGATATGGACTGTGCTGCTGAGGATATTTACTCACCTTCTTTGCATTTGCTGATGTCTAGCACACCATATGATGTACAATTTTTTGAGATAATTTTTTCTGTGCAGAAACAATGGTTGTCTGGGTTTTGAACTGGAGAGGCAAAGGCCTTGGATGGAAGAACAAATCTATACACAGGAATTCCTTTCAGATTAATGTCGGATTCAAATACAGCATAGATTGACCTAAATACAGAGAAAAAAGAGCTGCATTCCAGGAACCTGAACTTACATTCCGGAGATTCAGTTTTTCTTATTCTTGCTTTACCTTACAAACATCATACACTCTCTTAAATTCTTGTTTCATTCTTAGAAAAAAAAGTGATTGGGAAATGTTAACACATACTAGAACTCAATACCCAAGTATGAACTATTCTTGTTTGTGAAATACCATGTTTATTTATACCAAAGTTAGTAAATATTTATAGCACTTCCTTCAAATACTTTATTTGTGATCAGTTTAAGTGAAATAACGTTTCTTTCACAGCTTATTTAGTCCTGGAGAGAAAGACCAGTCACTGGAGTGTGTGCATATACATGCTGGATATATACCTGGTACATTTCCATCATTTAACAAGTGTCTACTTGTATTGAACCATAGGGTTCAATACACATTTTTTTTCTAATCCCCAGATACACCTATATGAAGAAATACTGCTGTCTTAAATTTTACAGATAAGAAAAAAAATCCGAGATGTTAAATGCTTACCCACCATCATACAGTCTTTAGGGACAGAGCTTGGGCTCAAGGGTAATGGTAAAGGCTCCGGTGTTCGTGGGTTATCTACTGGGCCCCACAAATTTGAGCAGAGCACATGAACACAGTTCTGTTACATCTGCATCATCTTCTCTGTATGTCTTTAGAAAGACTGGACATACTCTTCTGGACTTCATTGTTATTAGACTACTAGTTTAGTTTCAAAAAGGCTAAATGGTTCTTGCTTAGATAGAAATAGCAAAAAAATGATTTACGCTATTAAAAATTGGAGGATATAGAAGAATATTTTGCAGAGTTAATAAACATTATGAATTTTCTATGCTGTGTTTAATCATTATTTGAGAAAAATAATAAAGTTTCTTGGTCTGCATTTTGTCACCTGGGGTCTGACTCAGACATACTTCAGTTTTTCTCTTACCTGCAAATGTCAGAAGAAAAGAACTGCAATACCTGGCTCTTCTCAACAAAAGGTGGAAACGAGGCTGCATCTGTTTAAAAATCGAGTGGCAAATGATTAGATGTAATATGTGTTCTAGAAAAAAACCTAGAAATCTCTCCTCCAGTGTAGTCAATAGAAATATAATGCAAACTACCTAAGTAATTTATCTAGCAGCAACATTTTTAAAAGGTAAAAAGAAATAACCGGCCAGGCACGGCGGCTCAAGCCTGTAAGCCCAGCAGTTTGGAAGGCCAAGGCGGGTGGATTACCTGAGGTCAGGAGTTCAAGACCAGCCTGGCCAACATGGTAAAACCCCATATCTACTAAAAATACACAAAATTAGCCTGGTGTGGTGGTGGGCACTTGTAATCCCAGCTACTGGGGAGGCTGAGGCAGGATAATTGCTTGCACCCAAGAGGCGGAGGTTACAGTGAGCCAAGATCGTGCCATTGCACTCCAGCCTGGGCAACAAGTGGACAACTTTGTCTCAAACAAAACAAAACAAAATGCTATTTTATTTAACTTATTAATATCCAAAATATTTTAACATGTAACCATTATAAAATATTTTAAATTCTTAAAATCTGAAAATCCACAGTGCATTTTATATTTACAGCACATTTCAAATCATACTAGCCATATTTTGAGTCCTTAACAGTTACATATGGCTAGGGGCTGCTATAGTCAACAACAAATCTACATACTATACATATTTAATGGTACAAAATAAAAGAAACTTAAAATGAAATGTCAAGGCTACCATTGTGTTTGTTTTTTGAAATGTCCCACCCCACCAGCAGAGTGGCACTTTTCTTCCAGGGAAGTTCATTTGGAACTCCTGCTATGTCCACATTTCTTATTTGTAGTGATTTTGTTTTTCATTGGCCCTAATGGCTGATGAATACTTCTAAAAATACTTACTAAAGTTCTCTCACTAAACAGAACTTCAAATGCTTTGAAAGTATATTTTAAAAAGTCATTTATTGAATTTACTTTTTGCTACAACTATGATCCATGGCAAACATTGGATATATGAAGAAATAGTTAACTCCTCCATGTACTTCTCACATGAATATCACTAATATGAGTCATCATTGAATAAGTTTTAAATGGTAAGTCTCATCTTCAATTATGCATTGCAGGTTCTTTCTCTGGCAAGTGTGTCAACCTTGCGACCTTATTTTCATTACTTTACACTCTTGTGACAAGTGAAATATAAGCTCCCATATGGACATTGCCAACACCTGCTTTCCCATTTCCTTAATAATTAAACAAAAATACATTGAAAAACTTTTAAGATCATTATCTAAAATATCATTGAAGATTATGTGCAGAGCTTCCCCCCACCGCCCAAAATAAACATTCTAAATGTATACCAATACTTCCATTTTAAGTCTTTTCAAACTTACTGAAGAAGGTAAAGAGGATGCACTCCTAAATTATGATGAAAACACATTAGAACCTTACTGTTTTATTACTTTCTTTGCCCTAGTGCCAAAGCAAGAATCTCTCTCACAGGGATCACCCCCTGCTCTGTCCAAATTCCCTCTTTTCCTAGTTTGTTTCAGGTCTATTTTCACCCTAGATATTTTTAACATCATGCCTGATGCTCATGCATTTATATTATTGTCAATGAATCCTCTTTTTAAAGATTTCACCCCTTAAACCCATAAAGAATCCTTCACTAGGAGTAACACAGTATGTTTATCTCTGCATCTAAGGACTAAGTATTCTGCTTATACAACTACTAGCATTGGTAGTATTGAGGACTTGAAAATTTATTTCCAGAAATGCTTTACTTAGAAAATAACTTATTTACCCACTCTTATGGCTTAAAACCCTGCAAAACCTTGGCTGGTCATGGTGGCTCCAGCCTGTAATCCCAGCACTTTGGGAGGCCGAGGGGGATGGATCACAAGGTCAAGAGATCAAGAACATCCTGGCCAACATGGTGAAACCCTGTCTCTACTGAAAATAACATAAATTAGTTGGGCATGGTGGCAGGCGCTTGTAGTCCCAGCTACTTGGGAGGCTGAGACAGGAGAATCACTTGAACCTAGGAGGTGGAGGTTGCAGTGAGCCGAGATCGCGCCACTGCACTCCAGCCTGGTGACAGAGCCAGGTTCCAGCTCAGAAAACAAAACAAAACAAAACAAAACAAAACTCCTGCAAAGCAAATTCAACAGTGCTTTTGCTGGTTTTTGTTTGCTTGTTTTGTTTTGTTTTTTTTTCCTACCAGGCAATGATAGAAATAAATATGCATAGGAAGTCAATAATCATACCTTTGGCAAAGAAAACATTCTCTGTGCTTCATTTTTACTTAACTGTCTTTATCTTTATGGGATATTCCCTAATTTTCTGAACTTCGTGCTTTTGTTTCCTAGTAGTTGAAAGCTTGTCTCTGATATTAATTCATGATATTCGATTCCCACCACTTTTTCCTCTTTTTTTTTTTTTTTTTTTTTTTTGAGACAAGGTCTCACACTGTTGCCCAGGTTAGAGTGCAGAGGCACAATTATAGTTCATTGCAGCCTCCACCTCCTGGAATCAAGTGATCCTCCTGCCTCAGCTTCCGAAGTAGCTGGAACTATAGGCATGCACCACCATGCCCAGCTAATTTTTGTATTTTTTTTTGTAAAGATGGGATTTTTGCCATGTTGCCCAGGCTGGTCCCAACCTCCTGGGCACAAGCAATCCACCTACCTTCGTCTCCCAAAGTGCTGGGATTATAGGCGTGAGCCACCATGACCAACCTCCCATTGCGTTTTAAAAATCTTAATTCTTAAACTAATAGGCATATCTGTACTTTGCTTATCCTGAAGGAGAATAAGCCTGATCTAACCATACCCTAAATCTAAGTTTATAGCTCTTTTTCCCAATTCTAATTTGGAATGCTCATTTTTTACACATATTTTTCATAGTTAAGAAGACATCTGACCTTGTTTTTGTTTTCTCTCTTATTCTGACCACCTTACCCAAAAATGGATGTTTCTGTCTTGCAACTTCATTCTATCTCAGCTATAAGCCTTGCTGAGATATGTTTTCTCTTTTGTAATTAACTTTTTTTTATTCTTTCAATTCTAACTTATATGTATACGATTTATAAAAGATTTGAAAAGTAAAGTGTTTTTTGTTGTTTTTTTACCATTTACTTCTGTTGCCAGGATGACAGTTAAGTTTTTTCAAAGCAAACATTTCTCTGAGTCATGCACTAAGGGCTAATTTTTTATGATTAATCTTCACAAATCCCATTACATTGAACACACATTTACTAAGCCTATATACAAATAGGGACTCTGAATTATGTTTTGGGGATATAAAGGCAAGTAAACACACACCCTCAACTTTCAGAACACTGTCAGTATAATGGTGGATTTGTGGGAAAGGGAGGTGGATTCACTGTGAGACCACAAAACAAATATTCTTACCTGTACCATTAATCATGTCACAATAACTTTCCCAATAGGAGAGATTCCTTAAGAATAGAAAAAGACAATGAATAAACATTCTCATTTAAAGAATACCTTTCTTACATTACTTTTTCTATTATAATTCAATACTTCTGTTAATATGATGCATTTAAATGTGACAATACTAAGTTTAAGAAATGTTTAATTCTGTTCATGTTTTGTTTGAACCTTTTATCTTATTGCAATGTACCTGATGCCATTAGGTGGCCAGATCATAAAATAAAAACTGCCAGGTGTTAATTAGAAACATCTTGGAATAAGGAAAAAATTAAAAACATTTATCAGAAACTGAAATCTCTACTTAGGGGAGAATTTTTTTTCCCAATGGCATACATGAATTACTCGCTCAGTAGCATAAGTGTTCAGAATGAATAGATGGAAAAGTGTTAAATGGGTAACTGAAGTAAACTCAGTATAAGGCAGGCAGAAGAGAGAAGCGGGGAAAAGGAAAGAAAGAAGTTGATGTTTGGATCAGCAAACATTTAAAACATGTAGATGATTGATTTATATTCCTGCCCCTTCCCCCCTTTAATTCTCACATGGACTAACATTAAAGTAGGAAAGAGTTTATTAATTTATACTTTGTTGTTTAAATAAGCTATATATATCTGAAAGTGATAAAAACAATAGTAATAGTCCCCCTGCATCCTCACCTTTTTGGTGATGGAAAAACTTTTTTCTACTCCTAACAGTGACATGTCAAGACAAGCCATTGCATACTTTTTAAACAAAATAAGTGGTTAATCATGTTCAGTCTTGCCATGAGTTAAATCAACCTTATAATCTTAAAGTGATGTGAAATTCTTACTCTAATTAGGAGCTCTTTGCAACTCCCCTCCACATCTCTGTAATATTAGTGAAATGTTCGTTATGTCTCAATATAAAAACTTGCTGTGATTTCCTCTTAAATGAATATTTAGAAGTGTTTTTTTCCGACTTTTCTTTAAAAATATGTAACTGTGGACTCTTTAGAAGAAAAAGTAATCCACTAGTTAAATGCAATTATTAGATAGACTCAGTTTGAGGTAGGGGTTACTTTAGATTCATAAAAACATTTTGTGTCTTTTGGTTTTGATCACTTCATTCTTTTTCAGAAAAAAAACTGGTCTAAAACACAATTGTTAACTTTATGGAGAAGAAAGCTTGTTTGTTCCCCTGATATTTATTAGGGTTCTTCCTAGTTTACATTTATGATAAATTATAAATTCTTTAGATGAATAGGCTGAAACTAGGGAAAAATAAGGAAATAATGGCTTAGGAAGCTGATTTTTTATTTTACCACTTTAAAAGTGGCATAGTCTTCATTTTCACATTTTGTATGTACATTGTAGAACTGCACTTGAAATATTCGTTCCATTTTTGCATTGATAAAGACTGTTTGCAGGGGGAAGGTCATGAAAGCACTTGCCTGGATTCATTAAGTTTCCATGCTTCCATCTTTATAGACACATTTAGGTCATGGCACTGGAATATAGAATTTGATCTGCTCAATTTAAAAAGTAAAAAAAAAGTTTCCATCTACTAGACAATCGGTTTTTTTTTTATCTTTTCATTTATGGTATCTAATTGTAAGAATAATTGTATTATAATGCTGGATATGTAGCAGAGATGAAAAAATAGTCCCTTTGGGGATTTATGTAACATAACCTATGCAGAAAGGTGAACCAAACCCTAAAGTGGAGCTGATAGTCAGCAGCTATGCACTGGTGTGAACGCACCAGTTGCCACAACTAAAGGGTTAATACCTAGCAGAACAGGAGTTTCCAGAGCTGAATTATAACCAGGTCTGTTCTATAGTTTGCTGTCTGTGTCTTATGAGACGTTAAATGAATACCATTCCTGTTTAAGAGTACCCTAGTAACACACATGCACATTTTACCCGAATACCTACCTTTTACCTTTATAGGTGTCGATTATGGCAACTTTACTTATGCTGTCTTTTCCATTGAAAACTTTATAAACTCCATCCGCAGTATTGTTGTACTGAAAATATATGTATGGGAAAAATTTACTTCTAGAACAAATCACTTTTTCAAAGTTATACAATATGTAACTTACTTTCACATTTCTCAATCACTGGTTACTCATATGACTTGAAATACATCTGCAATACATTTTTTTTAAATATTGGCCTTGAAAAAATTGTGAAAGGTGCCTAGAAATAAGTGCTAGATGCTGAGACAAAGAAGCTACATATCAGAAGCTGACAAGATGTGAACTCTAGCACTCTTTGTCATCATTAAGCCAATGAGGGCATTTTGATCGCTATTCTTACTATGTTGAGGTGAGGGACATTGAACAAACCTATAAGAACAATGATTTATAGGGGTATTCTAAATGTTATGACCATTAATAAGTGGTTACTAAAATGATAAAAATTAGGCATCCACAATTTAAAGCATTAGCCAAAGAAAGAGCTATGAGTATTGAGTTAAAATGAGAACGAATTTGATTCGTTATGGCTTTCTACATTCTTATCTAATTGATATATAACCTTGTCATCCTAACAGTATCTAAAAGTAAAACAATGAACTAGAGAACATAATATTCACATATAGTGCCAAATGAAGTCATAGTCAAACTTCCAATTCAATAGTTAGCTTATCCTATTTGTAATTCAAAACATTAAGCTGTAATGAAGTATACCACCAAGTTCACATTTTCCTTAATCTTCAAGCTGCCATCTCATGACATTGTGGACTACTAAAAATTCTTATTTACAGACCCCATTAAAATGAAGTCTATTAGCTTATCAGTATTGAGATGTGAACATTAGGCTAACTTTTAAGTAAAAATTAAATGTGTAAGAGGTCTAGAAAAGGAGGAGTGAGGAGTATATTTAAAACAAATAAAAATATGGTATTAAACTTGATTATGTGAAAAGGGAAATAAAAGCCAAAAACAGCACTCAAAGATTTACAGACTAGCTTACCAGCTAATTTAAAACAAACTGTATATTTATAAATGAGTAGAAACCTGATTAAATCTGATCTTCAGGTTTAAATTTAATTGTTAAATTCAGATGAATTTCCCAACTAGGAAAGCTGAAGCTACAATGGGAAGGGGACTTTTTAAAAAGTTAGGATACATATCTCCAGATCAGCAATAAGACTAATGAGCTAAATTATAAAATTATGCCTTGCCAATGCCATTGAATTAATTCAATTAAAATGTAATAATATTGCCATTCATATTTGGTACTTACAGGATAAAACATACCAACTCTAGTAGAAACAGGGTATGGAACCAAACTCAAAAATGGATCCGTATAGCCCCATAACAGTTCTCTCAAAGTTCTGACTTGGAACATAGAAGATTTTGACTTGTTAATAAGCGAATTGAGTACCACTTGAACAAATGGATTTGGATAGATATGGGATGCAGCCTACAAAAAAAAAAAGTCACTGTTTAAGACAAGAATACAATATTAGATTTTAACAAATAAATGGATTAAATACTAATACTGAGCTTAATACAAGACTTTTTGAAGCTTATCTTTAAAATTACTGCCAAATCCTACCAAAACTCAAAGTATAATTTGTTTGATTCTTAGATGACTAAATTTCTTTGCCTCAGTGCCAGCCACAAGAAGAAGATATTCCAAGTTAAGCTCTATTTATTTAATGATACACTTAAAGTGGTCTTCTCAAATACCTAATGCATTAATGTATACGGGGCTTAAAACCTAGATGACGGGTTGATAGGTGCAGCAAACCACCATGGCACACGTATACCTATGTAACAAACCTGCATGTTCAGCACATGTATCCCAGAACTTAAAACAAACAAACAAACAAAAAGCCAGAGGTCTGGTCCGAAAGGCTCTGGAGCCATACGTGACAGAAATGGTGCAGGCAATTGTTGCAGGCATGTTCATCACAATGGCAGGTTCCACGTCTAATGGCACGAGGCTCTCTGCCAGTGACCTGACCAATGGTGTGGGTGAAATGCTAACCACAAGCTCCAACAGGTCTCCGTACAGCATCTCCAGGGTGAAGACCCCGGTGTCCCAGGTTGGGGAGGACGAAGAGGACTATGACAAGGACAACTGACGTCCTCTCCATTTCAATTTCAGCTTCAGGAAAACGTTTAGGAAAAGAAGCTTCTTTTTTTAATGTGGGTTTTCTGTTTCCTTTTGGCCTACTCTCAAGAAGATATTGGTAAGCTATTGAACTTTGACATGCACCTCCGGTAAGCAAGGGTTGTTTCCCATAGAATTAGGATGTGCTGTGGATGCGCGGTTTGATGCCAGTGTGCTGATGCAGAGCCTTCATATACTTTTTAGGATTTTGTGTTTTCATTTTCTATTTTTCTTAAAATGCAGAGTTCATTTTTGCCCCTTAAGGGTTTTTGCTGAGCTTGCCGAAAAACTGTCCTTCATCCACATAAACGCCCTCGTGTTGCGGATGGTGACCACCAAATGCCGTTTATTTGCCGTGAGTTTGGACGGCACCCCCTGCTGGCGGATAGCGAGACTCGGCAGAGTTTTATGTTTGTTCAGTGGTGTGGTGTCTACAACTCCAAGCAAACAGCAGAATTCGACTTTCCAAACAATAGACACCATCAACCTTATCGACTTTATTTTCCCTTAAATTATATTGACAGTTGTGATTCCAATCAAGTTTATATACTCTTTTCTCTCCCCATTTTGCGGCAACAAATTGCAAAGTGCTTTTGTTTGTTTGTTTTGGCTTTGTTTGGTTAAAGGTTATTGCCAGGCTGGTACAGCTATGGAGACTGTCTGGAAAACTTGAAATGGTTTATTGCTTATGGTAAAATTTGCCTGATTTCTCACAGGCAGCGTTTGGAAACCTTTTATTATACAATTGCTTACATACTTAAAAGTCTATCATTTAAAGACATAATGAAACAAATGTTGTACTTGTTTCCTAAGCATCTTCCTGTAATCTATTACAAAATTGAAATATAGAGAATGTTTCAACAAAAAATAATGAAAAAAATAAAGTGGTCTTCTAATGCAGTTGATTCTTATGATTTTTTCACTTTCCAAATGACCATGCCTCCATTCAAAATAATGATACGGGAATACATTTTGACAAAAATGGAAAAATAAGTAAAACCTAATAATTCTAATGATAGGATTAATTACAGTGAGTTCTAGAGTATTTTAAAATAGATAACTTTGTTGTTTGTCTACTCACTGCCACAGCCAGATTGAGAACTGTGAAGTTGTCAGCTTCTGTTCCAACTGATAGTGAAGGTTCAAAGATGGCACCATTGGGCTGTAGGAAAGACACTGTGTTGTCCTTGGGGTCCTGGGTTATATTTTCCTTGGCTAGAAAACGAACTCTAAAGAAACAGAAGCAAAATTCAAAACATTTGTCATATGTGAACGTTAGATCTCAAATGTCATTCATTCATTCAACAAATGATTTTTGAACATATAGAATATACCAGATATTATGGAAGCAATGGTGTTCAAATGAGAAATCAGCCAGGGTCTCTAGCAAACTAATCAGAAGGGGTCTTAAACTGGTAAACTGGAAATTAAAATAGTGAGGGAGAAGGAATATTGTTATAATGGAGACTCCATGGGAAAACACAAAACAGATCCAGATCCAGATTTAGAATGGTCAGGGTAGGGGTGAGGGTTAAGACACTTTTTAGTACAAGTCTACATAAGTGGTCTATGTAACAAATAGAAGTTTAGTTAGGTAAAGTAGGGCAGATGGTAGCATGCATAAGAACGAACATAATATATTTTGGGAAATGCAGATATTTGAGTGTGGTTGGATTACAGAGTAAGAGGTGAGGAGAGTAGTGGAAATAAAGCAGCTGAAATAAGAAAGATCTCAAACATAAAACAGTTGCATGTAATACTCAAATGACAGACTTTATCCTGAGGGTAAGGAGGAGAAAGTACAAGGACTTCAGCAGGGGAATATTTAGAGCACATTTTCTTGTATTAGAAAGAATGATCAAAATACGTAACCTATCCAGCACTGCTTTTTCCCTTTTTCAGTACTTTAATGAGAATTAGAGATAAGAGAATATCATTTCCATTTTTAAGGGTTATAGAACAACCTCCCCAACCCCTCAAGTATATTGAATACTTTTGTTAGTTCTAATCTCCTGACTCTAACATATCTAGGCTGCAAAGTACCAACTACATTTTAGGAATGTAGTGAAGGGTGATTATTACAAGAAAAATACATTTCACAAGTAGAAGATATTCACTGAGAAGAAATAAGATATACATCATAATTGCACTATCATATTTGAATGTCTGTGAAGTGAGTAAATAGCCAAGGCAAAGACTTAAAGAGTTGGACTGAATTTTTTAAAAACCCTTTTTATTTCATTATGATAAAAATGTAAATTCCTACAGGGTAGGAGTTTATGAGTGTTTTGTATCTCTAAGCATCATACTTGGTATATAATGAGTTCTCAGTAAATATATTTACTAAATAAATGTCTCAGATTCTTTAAAAAGAGGATTCAAAGTTGGCTAGAAATATATTTTCAATATAATTTTATTAAAACTTTATTATTCTTGAAGTACTGCAGACATACAAAGAATATAAAAATCTGAAACAGCACTCAGGACAATTGTATTTTAAATTAGTGTGCATATTACTAATATTTCAAATCAAAGTACTTTAATTTTCAGAAATATGGACATATATTAAAACAATAGCAACGTGATTGTCATGTATACTGACAACATTATACCAGTAGATGGCAGTCACTAAAAGAAAAATCCTTAAAACAGCCCTGTCTTTAGAATGTTGTTTTAAAAAGGGAACATAATTACTGAATTTTTTGTTTACAACTTAGATTGTATGGAAGTTTTGGAATGTGTTTGTTTATAAGGTCAAGGGAAGGAATTTAGACTTTTCTCAAGATTACTTTATGTTCTTTCCAAAGCGTAGTAACTTAAAAAAATGAATTATGGATCTAAGAATATTCTGAAGGAATTATAGCATCTTCGTAGAGATGGTGTAGGTAGAAACACACATAAGATCTAAACCCGAGCAATTTCGTGCTTTGATTCAGGTCATATCTTGTCAAAGTGTCATCAAGCTTACTTTAGCAGCCATTGGCCAAATAAAGCCTGTGATTCTGTTTGAGGAAGGACATTCTCACATACTTCCAATATCAGATGGACTTAGGGTATAATTATGAAAAAGCATGTTTAGCTCAACACAAACACTATCAAAGTGTTAACTTTTTTCTAAAAGGTACTGATTGTTTTTCCATTATTTAAGGCACTCAGGCAAACAATAAAAGACTATTTTGGTGACATCATGAGACAAGATGACCTAGAGTTAATCAAGAATCCCTTTAAAATTGTCATAGAAAGAGCTGTTTATGGATTCTAAAATTTAGCTGTAAATGCAACTCTTCTTCTCCAGTCTTTACTCCATTGCCTCTCTAAGCAAATCAAATATACCTAACACATCCCCTTTTTGTCCCTTAGAGAGATAGGTTAAAGGCTCTAAGAAAAAAAATATAGATTTGCTACCAACTACCAGAGGAGAACTATTTCAATAACATGTTTTCTCATATCCCAAATAATATATTTAAAAGTGAAAAATATGGTCGGGCATGGTGGGTCACACCTGTAATCCCAACATTTTTCAAGGCCAAAGCATGTGGATTGCTGGAGCCTAGGAGTTTGAGGCCAGCATGGGCAACATGGCGAAACCCTGTCTACAAAAGAAAAAACACAAACAAAAATTAGTGGCATGCACCTGTGGTCCCAACTACTCGGGAGGCTGAGGTGGGAGGATCACTTGAGCCTAGGAGGTTGAGGATGTAGTGAACTGTGATCATGCCGCTGCACTCTAGAGTGGGTGACAGAGCAAGACCCTGCCTCAAAAAATAAATAAAATTAAAAATAAAAGTGAAAAATATAACCTTCCCCAAACAAAAAACAACAACAACAAAAAGATGAGTTCTCAAATTCTAACAACTATTTTCTTTCCTCACACTCAGTTGACTTAAGTTCTATTTCTTAAACAATTATGCTGATACTCTCCTTAGGTCATATGTGAATTCTAGATTTTCATAGGTATATATACCTATGAATACATATATATATTTATTTCATAGTTACATATCTATATCTATATCTATATATATAGATATATTACACCTAACAACATTCTTTGCAACAAGATATTTGTATAGACTCTTGCTAATAATATAAAAACTTTAAGACCATGAAAAAAAATTCTAAGGTAAGATTTTTTTGTAGCCATAAAAGCTAAGTCTTCATTGACAAAATTATGAATTGTCACAGATGCGCACACAGACAGGAGATTCGGGTAAAACTGCGAAGACAGGACATGCACCGAGGCCCTCTGTGGCTTACATGTCATGTGCTATGGTAGGAGGCACCACCCTCACGACATGCCTGTTATTTCATTTTATTTTGGGTGTGAGTTTTCAATGTGGAAGCATAGTAATGCTTTGGAGAGGAAGGAAAATTATACAATCATCTGATAACCAAAACAGATAAGATACTAAAACTATAAATTATAAGAAATCAATAGAAATACAAAATTTTATGATAAGAACTAATCGTGATGTATAACTAGTTGTGATTATCCGTGAGGGAAAATATACATTTAGGTAATGAATTCTATAGCAGAACATAACTATGTTTCCATATGGATACCATAAATATATTCCTAATCCTTGGTTAAGGTGATGTTTTTAGTACCTTAATCTCCCCCTTTTTCCCCTTTTTAGTGAAAAAGATAGAGAGGCTATAATTGAAATAGGAGAAAATGTATATAAAAATCTAGGAGTTACTATTACCTACATCTGTGTGAATACAGACAAGTGACCGCACATCCACTGGATCAGGCATTTTTAATTCACAAAATGACAGATTCTGGCTGATCATTTCCTCTAGTTCTAATACTCTAAGATTCTGTTCAAAAGTGTATTAAACTATTAGGGAAGGCAGAGGAAAGATAAAAAATATTCAGTCTCAACACTAGAGAAAATCTAAGTGTGAAACTAAAATAGATCAATATAAACATCTATATGACCTGGAAGTTAATTTGAATATAAATCCTGAGTAGGTACCGCAGCTAGGAAAAATGAATTTAGCACTGTGGTTCTCAAAAATTGTGTATTCAAACCACCCAGGGTTTGTAAAACTCTTTACTGGGCCTCAACTCTTTCATTTATTTGTTTTGGTATGAGGTGTAGGGATTTGCCTGTTTCCCAATTCCCTGTTGATGCTGATGCAGCTGGCCCAGCACATTGCTGTGGCCCAGCTACACTTTGAGAACCACTGTTAAAATATGCTTTAAATTTTAAGATGTGAAAACTGAATTTTTTTTTTTTTTTTTTTTTTTTTTTTGCTCAGCAGGAATATTTCAGAGTTGTTGAGAGTATATGCCACAATAACAAAACACTAACTTCATAAACACAGGGAAGTTATTTGATATTGGTAAGTTTATAATAAAATGTTTATCTTTTCTATATACTGTCTAATAAATATTTGGATAATGTATATATCTTCCAGATTTTGAAACAAAATACCTTAAAATCATTAAATTCTTAGATTAGGATGCTATACAGATAGGAAAACTATTTTAAAGTATATTTTTGGCAAGAAAATAATAAGTACATTTCAATACAATGACATTTTTCAAGTAGAAGACTTCTCAGAAATACATGTTCAAGGTAAGAGTACCTCGTATTTGTGGGGACTCACTCACCTGTACGTATAAGGACCTCTTTGCTTAACTTGAATGTTGCTGCTGTTCATCATCACTTCCTGTGGATTTTGCACATCAAAGATCCAAAACTGTCTGTAAATTTCTGTGCCTGTTTTAACCCAATTTTTAAAAGCAATTGTACCTTCTTCAAGGACAACTTCCTATGAAAAAGAAAATAAGTTTGGGTTATGTCTTTGTAGTAAGTACAGGCACTTCTGGGCAATTGTTTGCAGTCTTGAGTCAACCAGAATAAAAGGACCAAGCTCAAGTGCCTCATTCATGTGAACTTTTGCAACCTTGCCATACACTTGCAACAGAAATGTTTTCAATAAATTATTATCACAGCAGCCTTTTTAGCCTTTTACAAAGAGAATCAGTGTGTAATACTGAAGACATGACTGTTGATTTTAAGGCAAATTTTAAAGTGACCCTTTGGCAGCTTTAGAGTGACCGTTTGAAAATATTGCAACAGTCAACATGATTTATTAAGCAAATTTTACCGAAGTTCAAAAAAGTTCTACTGAGTTGAACATGAACTTCTTCTCTGTCCCTAAGCTGGATTGATGAAACCAAACACAAAAACTGAGTGAAAAATCTAGTGGTATTGGGAGCTTTTTCTTTTCCTTCAAGAGTTAGACACTCCAGGGGATGGCACTTAACACTTACTACATTAAGAAAATAAAAATATCTACATGAAGAATACAAATTTGACATCACGTTTTCAAAATCCTGCTCAATCTGGCTTCCCCAACCCTTTTTTTTTTTTTTTTTTTTTTGAGACAAGATCTTGCTCTGTCACCCAGGCTGGAGTACAGTGGTATAATCTTGGCTCATTGCAACCTCGACCTCCCAGGCTCAAGTGATCCTCTCACCTAGCCACCATGCCCAGCTAGTTTTTGTAGTTTTAGTAGAAACAGGGTTTCACCATATTGGTCAGGCTGATCTTGAACTCCTGAGCTGAAGCAATCCACCTGACCTGGCCTCCCAAAAGGCTGGAATTACAGGTGTGAACCACTGCACACAGCCCCTAACTTTCACTATATTTGCAACAACCCATTAGCATATGTTTCTAAAAATTACAACAGCCTCACTCACCATGATTGGGTTGTAGTTTTTAAAGAAAAAAACAGGACAAGAAAACTGTCCTATTACTCCTTTGTGAAATCCACTAAAAATCACTGATACTCCTTTTGCTAAAAATAGACAAGTGGAAAATACACCAATAAGAGAATTAAAAATCCCATATTAGGAACTCAATTCCTTGCTTTAGGAGCTTTGGGACTGGGTAGAGAGTCATCAACCCTCCCTAGGGTCAGTTTCATTATCTGTAAAATAAGGGAGTTAACATAAATATTCTTCTAGTTTTCTTCCACAGCTTTCACTCTCTGAGCCAGAAGTCTATTACACTGTAGTAGATAGTGCAAACAAAGGTGATTTTGAAGCAGGCGGTATTTCCAATGAAGTATTGGGAAGAATGCCCAGGTTAAAGAACTCCAGCTTAACCTGAGTGTGCTAGAGGAAGAGGAATGCAACTATTTCATGGAAAATGAGCCTAAAGAGAACCATGACCACAGGAACATTCTGACCTATTTGTTTCCTTCACCTGGAAGCACCGCTTCACAGAATGACAGATTAGGAAAGGACACTGAACATGATCACATTTTCCAGTAGAGCACACTGAAGCTCTGAGAAACCAGACGACTGGCCCAAGGACAGCCTAGGTAAACAGTAGTGAATTCATGACAAAAATCCTTATCCCTGACCCTTAGACTAGTTCTCCTTTACAACATGCTATGATCTTTTTTTTTTTTTTTTTTTCCACCCTTTACCGTTAGTTGGTAGAAGTCAAATTAAGCTTCATATCTTCAGGATATTTTACTTATTGCTTAATGCAGGGAATAAGGGAATTCCTTAGAGAAGAACTGGGCACCAAGTTAAAATGGAATTACAAAATCCAATGCTGCTGTAATCCACTTATACGGGGTACATTGGACCTGCTAGAGTGATGGAATCTTTATTACTTTTTACAACAAATTGTCCTTGAAAAACTTTTTATTTGCTCCCAAAAAGACTTATTTCCACACTAAGTCTAACAGTAAGACAAAATCGCTTAAAGTATTATGGATATTCTTCTAAATGTAAATATGTTTGATGAGGATGTTGAAGCTCAAAGCTAAATAGAAGCTGAAAATGGTTGATTTCTCCATTTCAAGAGACTTAAGAAGGGAGAACACATAAACACACACATTATTATCCTCACACTTTTAGAATCTTAATGCTCAAAAACAATACCTGTTATTCATCAAGTGCCTCTCAAGGTACATATTAGGTTTGTACACAATTACGGTTTTTGCGACTTTAATGACAAAATTCACAATTACTTTTGCACTGACCTAATATCTCTTAATGAAAGAAACTCAGTCAATTCTTACAGAATTGAAGAGAGTCTGTGACAGAATGTGCTTGACAGGACTGAATGCCTTCCTAACTCTACAATGAGTGTCCATCTAAACACCAAAAGACATTGTATGTGTATGAGACCTTTTTTCTAAAGGCCACGAATCACTTTTCCCTTAAAAAATATCTCTTGCAACAAATAAGGCAAAGGTGAAACACAGGGTTGAAATGAGTGTGTTGGATTATCAACTGTTAGAATCGGGACCATCTAACCCCATCCATTTTTTTAGAGGTGGAAAATGGGTTCTAGAGAAAAGAGATGTCTGACTCAATGCTAAGAGGTGACAAATTTACTAGCAGATAATAGAAAAATCAGGTCCTTTCACTTCAATTTTGTATAGTTTCCATAGCATCATGATTTGTTTAGAGACACAGAGAAAAATATTGAAGTAGTCAAAGTAGGAATACAATGCTTCTGATACTACCACTACTATATGTATTAAATTGTAGTCACTCCTTGAATACCAAGACTAAATATGTCACAAGAAACAAAAGATATGTCCTTTGTGAATTTAAAAGAACTTGATTTTAAATTGGATTTGGACTATCTAGCCTATTTTGCAAATATTTTACTAAATTTGAAGTACAAAGCTGATAAGTATGCACACAGAAAAAGCAGTATAAGATTTTATCACTTGGCTAATGTGTACGTGTATATTTGTCCCTGACTCTAGGTATGCAGACTACCCAGCCCCAATAACAACAGAATTTCAGCCTGGTCTCACATAGCATGGTCTATAGCTGAGTTGAAAGCATTGACCTTGAAACTTCTATTCTGCTACATTAATTTGAAAACAGATGTTTGCTGGGACCATAATATCCTATATGTAGTCATACACTCACTTGAATACTGTTTTCATGCAACTATAATAATCATCTTCATGACTGACAACTTTCATTATTAAAATGCCCTTCATGTCTTGCTATGCATGGAGTAGAGTACAAATGTAGAAAACATTTTGTTTCACTTTTCGAGGACTATACAAGGTACTATCAAGAGACAGATGTGTGTTTAGCAGATTTTAATCTATGAGTTAGATTTCTTTACCCTATCCCTACCCTAACAAAGTATAGTGGCTTCTTCCCTAAAGCACAGACTGAAGTGGCCAACAATGAAATTAGATGCTATGAATTTGATCACTTAATAATAACAATCATTTAAGTTTGAGCAGGTTACTTAATTTCTTTGTACTTCACTTTCCTTATCTGTGAAATTATAACAGCAATGTTAGATTGAACCATATAAAATTAGTATTTTTGAAAATCAAAAAAGGTTGAATTTTGGCATTTTCATGTGGCTTATGTATCCTCATAGATTGTTATGGGGATCAATAAATGTGAATACTTAGAACAGTGTTAGTACAAACCAGACATTCAATAAATGTCAGCTATTAGTATTTTACAAATTCTATCCATCCTTTAGAAGAAGAACTCTAATACCATTTACTTCTCATACTGCTTTAATTGCTTGGTTCATAGCATTTATTGTCTAAGCCAGTCATGTGTCAATAACTTATGTAATATCCTGTGACAATTATTTTTCTGTTATTTAATCATTTTAATACTTATCTTTCTAGTAAAGTAAAAACTTCCTTAAAAACCAGAAGCATACTAAAAATAGCTTCCACCCTTCCCACTAACTGCTACCATTTGCTTGTAATTGGGCCTAAAGAGAATCATTTCCCCATGTTTAAAGAAATTCTCATGTTTTTGCATTATGCAAGTGTGTGTAAGTTGAGAAGAGAATGAATTAGAATTTTAGTGACAGTTGTGCAGAGAATCTGAAAATGGCTTTAGTTTCAGACCATCATCATCAACTAAAACCCAGAATAAAATTTGGTGAAATGTATTAGAGTAGTAAGCTTTACTATGTTTCTGAAACCCAGAAATTAGCCTCCAAGAATTTATGTAAGTACCTAAAATGGAAGATTTTGTGTCTGGCATGAAAAGTAAACTATGTTGATATTAAATTGGACTAGTGGAAGAAACATATATGCTTGTCTGCTATTTCTGGAAACATTGTCTTTAAGTGACTTTGTTATTATAGCTATATGCAAATATATGTAGTGTTTAATTCATTTTTATACTGCTATTTTAATTTAAATATTTTGATTTGTTCTTACGTTATTAACTATAAAACAAACGTTACCATCTTTAATATTTCAGTCATTTCTTTCTGAGCTTTTAAATACTATGAAAACGCACAAATTATTTTATATCTGGGAATACCAGAATCATACATTATAAAGTTAATGTAAACAAATTATCTGATTAAAATATGGACTATTCAAACAAATTTTTTGTGGGGGAGACAGGGTCTCACTTTGTCATCCAGGCTGGAGTGCAGACGCGTGATTGTAACTCACTGCAGCCTCAACCTCCTGGGCTCAAGGGATCTTCCCACCTTAGCTTCACAAAAGCTAGGACTACAGGCATGTGCCACCATGCCCAGCTATTTTTCTTTTTTTTGTGTATTTTTCGTAGAGATGGGGTTTTGCCATGTTGCCCAGGCTGATCTCAAACTCCTGAGCTCAAGTGATCAACCCGTCTCAGCCTCCCAAACTAGGATTACAGGCATGAGCCACTGTGCCCAGTCAAGTATAGCCATTTTAATGAATCATTATTATTTCAATTTATTTTCTCTGAAGGCATTTCTTACAAGCTACAGAAGGATCATTGTTTTCAAGAATGGGAGAAGGAAATAATGGTATCATTAATTGAATGATAATATTTAATACTAGTTCTCTAATAGGAACAAAGAAACCTATAATTCCTTTTTGGTGTTCTATGGTTAGTTTCATAGGGAAATTAAAATTTATTTAAATTGTAGTTTTTTTCTTCCAACTTTTATTTTAGGTTCAGAGGTACATGTGGAAGTTTGTTACATAGGTAAATTGTGTGTCGTGGGAGGTTTGGTGTACGGATTATTTCTTCACGCAGGTAATAAGCATAGTACCTGATAGGTAGTTTTTTGATCCTCCCCCCTCCCATCCTCAATTAGCCCCAGGTGTCTATTGTTCCCTTCTTTATGTGTATTCAATATTTAGCTCCTATTTATAAATGAGAGCATGTGGTATTTGGTTTTCTGTTCCTGCATTAATCTACTTAGCATACCTGTGTTATGTTATACAATATTCACTAAACATTTTATCAACTGACACTAATAATGTCAAGTGACAAATTATCTTTTGTAAATAGTGGCAGAATTTTGACCCTCGTCCACAGTGCTTTGGTAGTTTGTACATTCATGGCAGCTCTTGCTATTGACTTTTAGTTTTCTTTGAAAGACTGCATAAACTTGCTGGCTGCACACTACTCTATTAAGAATCATGGTCAAAAATACTGGTAAGAAAGATTGCAGCTATAATCCATAAAAAGCATGAAGATACCAGAGACATCCTTTGAAAACAAAGAGCAAAAATAAAATATAAATAAGGCTTTTGAACTGTTTTAGACTATTTCAAATGATAATGACATCTTTCAGAATTGGAAGGTATTAGAGCACTCCAACTCTACACTTAATATGAAATGATTTTCTCATCATTCTCAAACAGTTTAATTATTTTTTCAAGAATCACTTGTATACAATAGCTTTCTTAATTTTCTATTAGTCAATTAAACAAAGTAATATTAAATGAGTTTTAATGGTACACAAATAAGAAGTCACCAGTACCAAAACTCATACGTTTGTGAAATAGCATTACCCTAAGTATTTCTGAGGCAGCAGTAAGATACTTGGCTCTCCAGGTTTACACAAAATTCAAATATTTGACTCTTACTGTATGCCAAAGATATACGTATGCCAATATCATTTTTAAAATAGTCTGTAAACTGAAGAAAAAAGAAACAGTCTATTCAAACAAAATTCCACCTACTTCATACAACTAAAATTGACAAGGTCAACATGGTTATATAGGAATCTGAGAGCAAAATGAAGCTTAGCCTTAAATGTACCATATACCTTGACCAATATAAGGATTCTGATGATGAGTCTTAGTCTACGGACATGTAGGGGGCTTACAATGTGCGCTGTCATTTGACAGTTTTTATAAATCTCAGTTGTACCACACCTCCTTGAGTTTGAATCTACACTAGGAAGCCTGAATCTCCCCCTTTCCTGTAAAAGATTGCACAGATAATTCTTATTTCAAAAACAAGAAGGAAAAGCACTCCATTGATTTAATTCCCCCTTCTTTATCACACTACTCAAAGTGTACTTTCAAAATTATTGGTGACCATGTTCTCTAATCATTATTTTCTTAATTTTCATCTGCCTGAGAACATTTTATCCTTTCTTTCCTTGAGTTCTGGCCTCCTGTTAACTTCTAGGGTTGTACTCTTTGTTTCTGTTTCTTCATATAAGATCATTCTCTTCCTTTTCTACGTTTGTATTCCTGCCTCTGAATTATGTACAAATTCTGTAATATTTATTCTGCTTTTTTCTTCTCTCCATTAAAACTCTGAATCTACTGTTTAGATTTATTTGTAATCTCTATAGCAATGATCAAATCTATTTGAACTCTGAACTTTGAAACATAGACTGATGTTCATAACACATCACTTATAAAACCTCTGTTTTACTTTGTAAGGTATATACATACCTTCTATCAATAACTCACTGGACACCTTGAGTTTGATGTTTTTACTCCTCTCTCTATTTTAATCTCTCTCCAAGCTTCCATTTCATCCTATTATCTATCAGCTTTTTAAAATATACTCAACCACGCCAGACCAGTGTACCTTTTGTTATGTAATGTGCAGATTATGCAAATATCTTTCTAAAAGGGAATCTTATATTCTCCTTGAAAGTGGCCATATCCTACAGTTTTTTGTTTGTTTGTTTTCCTATCTCTGGTATCCTCACTTTGCAACCTTTCTGCTGTAAAGTAGTGTACAAGGCTAGGTTTTTCATCCAGGCTCTTCCTACAGATTGCTTATGTTTGGAGAATGACTTCTTTCCCCATTGGCTAGGTGAGCTGGCAAGTTGATTTAAGGACTTGTGCCTGTAAAATGGGTGAAATAACAGCAACTTCTCACAGATATTTTTGAAGATTAAGTGAACTAGTATATAGGAAACTTTTAGTAAGAATTAAATGTTAGCCATCTAATCTCTAAATGCAGGTTTTATTACGTCTTACACTTGCTGAAAAACACACCGACAACTATTATGTATCATATCATCAATTAAGTATTTTTCTGCCTGATGTTCTAAGCTTGCTTCCTAACTCTAACCCCATGTTAACTTCTAATCTTTTCTCGTGTTGATACAGTATTCTGGGCACATTCTCTACCTTCTTCCTTCCATCTTCACTGCATTTGATAGCATTTTCACAGGATTTTTCATACTATCAATCCGTCCTTTGACACGGTTACTGCAGTTATTTGGGACTTTGAAAATTCTACACTTCTTTAAAATCTGAACCAAGTCCTACCTTTTTCCTGAAGTTTCTTGAATACTCTGAGAGATTTCTCTTTCAAAGTATTAGAGCATTTACTTTTCCAATTCAATTCTAGAGTCTCATAGATCTCAGTATTTTTTATTATAATATACCTTCCCCTGGTTTTAGCTTACAATAGCTGAGATTATTTTATTCTCTTAGTCATTATACAAAAGCACATTTTGATGTCAGAAAACTTACTTTCTCATGGTTAACTATTATGAGCATAAAGATAAATATTAAAGAATTATAATAAATGCTAGCACCTCACATGCTATCCAAAAGAATCCACATGTACCAGTTTTGTTGCATGACAAAGAAAAAAATTAAATGATCAATACTCAGTTATTGACCAATAATTATGTGTCAGCAAAAAAAAAAAAAGTCTAAATTGCTATGCATTGGAAGATTATTGTGATTTTTTAATTTGGAAAACTTTTCCAAATGATGTTATAGTCTGTATGTTAACACAGACACTGATCTTGTGCTTTCTCTGCATCAGATCTGGGTGAGAACACAGTTTATAGAGTAGGAAGGATGTCAGATCAACGGCCACTCCATCTCACTATTAGATAAGCCCCACACCTCACTATTACCTGTCTGTTTCCATTGGCCTATATCAAAATACTATCAAGAAAACTAAGACTTCCAAGGCAGGGGATACTATCAATTTACATGTTTTTTCAGTTAAATGCATGAGGCTGAAGTTCTGCAATATGTTAGCAATAAATGCAATACAATCAGCCCTCTGTATTCATGGGTTCTGGGTCTCCAGATTCAACCAACTGTGGATCAAAAATATTAAAAATAGTAACAATATAGCAATAAAAAATTAATAAAAATTCAATTCCTGCTGTTCTCCATTGTGCACTATGCTTACTAACCCTTTGTCTAGGTCATTGCCATCCTAACCAGGTAGAGAGTTGAAGTTAGAACTCATGTTTTATTTGGCCAGTATTATGTTTAATAAAATGAACATTTATGTCTTCTGGCAGGAAACACACAGTCTAGTTCACAGCAGTTCCTGTTCTTCATTTTATCTTGTTCTTGGCACCTTAAATTTTGTTTAACCCCTGTATCCAAACTCCTGAAGCCATCTGAATTTGCCATCCCTCATTTAGAACTTCAGCAGATCTGCTTCCCTTTATTCTCTTCTTCCCTCTGTCAATCAGCATTTCTGATGAGTGAGTGTGTAGCTAATTCAAATAAGCTGTGGGGGCTGGGGGGAGATTAATTCTAGATTGTTGTGCAAAGCCCATCTATTCAATCACTCTGTTTTTTCACACTATAGTCAATTTGTTATACACTAAGATATGTTCTGCATATTTCTGAAAGTCTTTTCTAAGATTCAAATATGAAGCTTCATAAATAGAAAATATTTATGAGATGAGATTACACATATATAAAAATAGTGGATTACTAAACAGTGTATTACCAAACAACAAGTTTACCTAACAATAAGGATTTATTTCAGTATTAAACACATCACACACACACACACACGGTTATACTTTTGTCAGTATTAACTAAAGCACAACTTCTTTTATAAATGTGCTTTTACAGAATATACTCACTTATTTCCTATTCAAAAGCATGCCAACATGCTGTTTGGACATAACTTAAAACAATTATTTCTAACATGCATACCTATAGACAGCTTTTAATAGAATTTGGTATTTATATTTAAGATAGCAATGGAATCATGTTAAATATACATTATACTTACAACATTTCACATACAGTCACATCATATAGAGTTGCAGTGGTTCATAAATACCTTCATGTCAAAGATACAAATTAGCAGTTACCAGGAAATATAAAGCAGGTAAATACAAAGCAAAAAAAGAGAAGATAGAATGAATCAAAATGACAAGGCATATTCTTTGGACTACTTGTACCTTTTTAATTGTCTTCTGGATAAGCATGTCTCCAACTGGCATTAGAATACCTCCAAACACAGCCAGGACAGCACCAATGACAGCCCCAGTGATGAGTCTACAGTTGCGGTCACAGCCCATTTTTCTTGTTCAGGAGGTGAATTAGTGTTAAGCACCTGTTTCTTGCAAACTCCTGGATACGATTAAGGTGGTTTCTACAAGGTCTGGTTCTATCATTAGAAAGAGATCATAAAACAGAAGCTTTAATGTCAGTACAAAAAGATCAAAGTACAAAGAAAACAGCCACTGAAACAGATCATTTTGCCAGTTATAAATAAACAAATGCTTTTCTTTTTGTTTCACCAAAGTGACTTACTCAGTCCACCTCCCTTTTCTTGCTTCTAATGCTTACCAGTGACAGAACTAATAATGTCATATCTGAATTTCTTCAAATTCCTCCTTTTTAACTTTCTTTCTACGCATGATTAACATATTGAAACCTTATGTAAGGAGAACTCTCACACTCATCTCAGCAACTTTGTTGCATCCTCACACACAACACAGCCTTCCACACCTTCTCTTGAGTTCTCCTGCAAACCGAATGTGGGTTGACTGATGTGTTTTCCATTAAATGATAAGCAAGTATGGTAACAGATGTTTTATTTACTATACCTTATTCACAAATCAACAGCAAGACATGAATTTTACAGGAAATGAACTGATGAGTCGCAGAAATAATCAATTCTTCTAATCATTTGAAAGCTATCTGTGAAAATGAGAAAAGCATGGGTAAATAGAAAAAAATATTCCCAGAAATTTTATACTGGGGCACTCTCTAATATCACCATACTTAAAATAACTGTTGAAAGAAAGTCTAATGTTTATGAATACTGAGTTCAGGCCTGAATTGCTTGTCCTAAAAACTGTTTAAAACATGGAATTAAAATTTTAAGTATATCTTATTTTCAGTTTTATTATTAATGACTTTGGATAGCCTACAGGTGTAAAGAATTTGAAGAAAATATAAAACGTAGAGGATTTCTTGTTTCAACTATGGCATTGCTTTGTTACTAATCTCAAATAATTTTTTCCCTAACTATTCAACTACAATATAGTTTATTTTGTCATTTGCAGTTGATGCTAATTCTGTTAAAATCAGGTAGTTTGTGTTAGCATATGTTTGTCAATCTATTGTTTGGTATCTTTATAAAAATGTGTGATTATTATTTTTTGAGATGGAGTCTCTCTCTGTCACCCAGGCTGGAGTGCAGTGGCGCGATCTTGGCTCACTGCAACCTCTGCCTCCCAGGTTCAAGTGATTCTCCTGACTCAGTCTCCTGAGTAGGTGGGGTTACAGGTGCGCACCATGACACCCAGCTAATTTTTGTATTTTTAGTAGAGATGGGGTTTCATCGTGTTGGTCAGGCTGGTCTCGAACTCCTGACCTCATGATCCACCCACCTCAGCCTCCCAAAGTGCTGGGATGACAGGCATGAGCCATCGTGCCCAGCCATAGTATGTGATTATATAAAGATTGGAAGAGCCGGGCGTGGTGGCTTATGCCTGTCATCCCAGCACTTTGGGAGGCTGAGGAGGGCAGATCACCTGAGGTTGGGAGTTCAAGACCAGCCCGACCAACACAGAGAAATCTCATCTCTACTAAAAATACAAAATTAGCAAGGCGTGGTGGCACACACTTATAATCCCAGCTACTTGGGAGGCTGAGGCAGGAGAATTGCTTGAACCCAGGAGGCAGAGGTTGCGGTGAAGAGTTTCACGTCATCACACTCCAGCCTGGGCAACAAGAGCAAAACTCCATCTCAAAAAAATAAAATAAAATAAAATAAAATAAAATAAAATAAAATAAAATAAAATAAAATAAAATAAAATAAAAGATTGGAAGAAAGAATACAATTTGTGAAATGAGTGGATCCTACTGTAATAATAAGAGTTAATTCTAACTAGTATTTGAAAACTCATTTATTTGAACTTTTTTGTTGTTGTTGTTGTAATGGCATTTTGTCAATAATGGGGTTGGCCTGTCATTTATAGTCAGAATGCGCTTTATAGTCTATAAACAATTATTCTCTACTTTGAAATGCTCATGGCCAAAGAAAACATATGTGCCAACAGAATGAAGGCTACAGTCAAAAAAGGGCACATAGAATATTGTTGTTAATGTTGTAATTGTATTAAAAATTGTGGTTATAATTTCAGGTTTTCCCTCCACACTCTCTTGCAACAGAGGTACCACTTTTATGATTGTATTAGTATTTATTTCCACTTTAATAATCATATAGTTTTTCAGAAATATGACTTGTAGAGCTAAGAAAAGAATACAAAAATGATATTTTCCCCAAAAATATAGGAATAAATGTTAAAAAATTTTTTTTCTTGCCAATTTTATTATTTACATATGTTCCCTTCACCTCTGGGATTCCCCTTTGCCTACTCCCTTACATAGGGTGCTTTTCAGTATAAACCATAGGATGCAATAAACTTCATTTACATCAAGGTCTTGGTGATTAAGAAGACTGACTAGTTGTTTAGTGTCATTTTTCTCTAATGTAAAGGGAACACACATAAATCTAAACAAGTGATTTGTTTGATTTGTTTTTCCTATGGAATTTTATGTCTCACTGAGCAAGTAGGGCTGGCTTTTTATTAATTGTGCAGGGGTGGACTGGTAACAATAGCTTTCCCTGCCCTTAGAAATCATATACCATGCTACCTCATATGGCTTTGTCCATGGCTGTCCTAATGCAATGGAACGAGTAATTTAATGCTGGTAATCAGGACTGGATATTGTCAAATAGAATACCCTTTGCAATGCATAATTGTAAAGCACTTGAAACTTTTCTTGAAACCATCTTTTAAGCAACCATAGTTATTGCTAACTAGAGAATGTCATGTTGGTGTTCTGTATGTTGTGAACTGATAATAAGATTTAGGGTAGCTTATTAGGTACATAATGTTTTATTGAATGCCCATTTCATAGACCATCCCCAACTATTTTCTGCAAGTTATACTTAAGGAAGCAATTAAAATACAGGGATCCCAGCTGGTTCAATTGAGATTAGGGGACAAGATTAAGCCAAAGACTGATTTGTCACTGTCTTGCTAAATGAAAGTGGGCAAGCCACGTAATCTCTCTACACCTCAATTTCCTCATGTGTAAAATGAGATCAGCCGTTTTTAATTTAAGCAGCTGAACTGGTTCTTCAATTCTTATGTGGAAGTCCATTAGGTAAAATGACTGTGATTCCACAACAGTGGTTGGAACCCAGAGACTCTGTTTCCTAACTTTGTCTCCCTGTTCCTGCCTAACACTCTTTATCCTCACTGCTAGGAAGCTCTAGGAAAACCTCTGTAGACACCCACAGCTTTATGAGCCCATATAAAAAATGCAGCAGGAAACCCCCAGTGTCATATTGCAGTTTTGTTAATATAGTATGAAAATCTATTTAAAACATATATAACTCAAGGATTAAGTTATCTCTCTGGGAAAGTTATTTTATGTTCCACATAAACTTCACTAAAAATTACTCATTCAATATTAATATCATTTGCAACTCTGACAAATGTGATACAAAATGATTTCAAATTATAAATATATTGCAGTTAGAATAGGTATATATGCATATATTTGCCCTTCTCCAGATTCTATGCCACAACCTAGTTGTAAATCTATCTGGCCTTTCCCAAATCATTCTTCTTTATTCAAGTAGCTCCATGCACTACAGAGAAGAGTTTCTGCAAGGGGTAAACAGTTCCATCAGTAACCACCAAAGAACCCAGGGAGTAGTGCATGCTCTCCAATAGCTCCCTCTCTAGACCTGAAAACTAATTATTATAACTTCTATGGACTCTGAGCCTAGATATGTTGAGCAATGGACAGGCCTGGGTACTGCCTACGTCTGCTGTGAACTTAAAACTGAAGTGAGATAGTGTACACATCCCACTGCTGTAGTCACATACGTTAGAAAACAGAAGTACCTAGTAATTTATTCTGTTGAATTCTATGGTTACACAGTTGTTAATCTGGTCAGGATGATATAAGCAAAATTACAAGTATTAACCTAACAGAACTTCAATCCATGTGCTATTTTGAAAAAAGAGCTAGACAAACTGAACTTGTCTATTTGTTCAAATTTTCAACTGATCGATTCCCTCTTATTAAGTTTCTACCCTGTTCCTAAGAATAGGCAAAATACGTGACACTAGTTGGGTTCATTTATTATCACTCAGTGCCTTGATACCATGAGTAATGAAGTATTGTTATTATAATCATACTCTATCCTTAAGTTGCATACGACAAAATTATAATTAGTTTTATTCACCTGAGGCAAAGGAGGACCAAACATACTACGTAAGACGTGTACCAAATACAAAAGAGAAAAGCTCAGGTTAAATAGCACATTGCAGTCAACAGCTTTTCCACCTATATTTATCTTCAGAGAAAGAATGTAGTTTGTCTCCACCATTCCACCAAATTTAGCTGTCTACAGCATAAAAAATTTGGGTCATGCTTACTCAGTTTTCTTAATAACACAACTCCTTATATATTAAAATAGGTAATTAATTTCATTTCTAATTATAGATTAAATTTTATTCTTTACTAATTGTTACTTGTTCTTTATAAGAAACAGAGAAGATATTGATACTGTATCTGTAATAATTTACTTCCTGCTTAAAGTACTTGAATTTAGAAAGCCAAGATACAGAAAACTAATCGAGACTTGTATAAAGAAGAAAAGGAAAATAAGACATGTTTTAATAGGCAACTAATTTCATGCCTTTCTTGATTCTATAGGTAGCTCAGTTGCCTTCTGTCCAGTTTATAGATTATAAATCCTATTCCTTTTGTAGAATCCATGAGTGGAGCCTATTCCATTGGGTCATCTTTGAAAGAAGGAAGAAAAATATAACTTGTAATTTCTTTTTCTTTTTTGGTTGTCAGGTCAACAGTCTTTCTGTAATGAACTTTTAAGCAAAATATCCTTCCACTATATTGGGAACCCAGTAGAAACAGAGACTTTTGTAAAGTCTCTGTATTTTGCAAAGCCCGCATTAGGCTGAGATATAAGAAGCCTCTTCAGTAAATAGTTCACAATATTTGAGCAAGTCTCCAGAGCATCTATAATTAATCCCTTGTGTTTATAAAGCTGTGTTCCCTGGGAAACTCCACCCAGAAAAGGCATGGCCCTGAAGTAACATCTGCTGGGATGTAAACTATGAAATTTGAAAAGTTTTACATTTCCAGGGTACTTGTACCATAGATAATTGTCAGACCTAAATGACATTTTCTTACTGATCAGTAGATAGCTAAAATTTTCTTTTTTTCTATCTATAAGCCTTCCTCCCACTTTTTCTTAGGATAGAAAACCAGACCACACTCTTCTGTTTTCCATTCTCTTGATACAGAGTTCCTTACGTAAAAAATACAGTGTCTGTCCATAAAATCTAGTTTTTGTAGGACTTGGGGGAATTCATTCAACAGTTTACGTAAGTATAGAAGTTAGTTTTTAAAATTAAACTTTATTCACATTCTTATCATGACTATGTATATTTATAAAGACACAGTTCCCTAGACATGAGTAAAAATGTAGATTCAAATTCAAGGTAGTAGAAATGGGTGTAAAACAATCACTTAACTGTAATTATGTTTCATCAACATAAGGTCATTAGGTCACACTTTATAAAATTGTGTTTAGAGATAGAATTCTCCTTTCAAGGTAAATTGTATGCACAATACCAATATACAAAGATAGTTCAAAGAAGAGCTATTTAGTAAAAGAAAGGAGCAGAAACTGTGCCCCTTCCCTTTTCCAGGCACACTTCACTCGGGCTCTGAGTCATCTTCAAGGAACCCACGGGCTCCACAAACAATTTTCAAGTAACTGGACTAGGAAATCTCCAATACCTTATCTTACTGAAGTTATCTCATGTCCATTTCCATCCTATCAGAATATATGAAGGTAAAAATGTATGATAGAAAAAAAACTTGATAGACATCTGTAATATAAAATTATATACTTCTCAAATATTGCAATTTGAACTTGTTTTGATCATAGTCTTAAAAAATTAATGTAATAAACTCGACTTTATATATTATACTTGGGATTCTTCTAGAACTAGTCCCATCTTTTAAAGACTCATGAACCAGGGATTACTACAGGTTTGAAATTATTCTTTTAAGTTCATACTGACTTAAAGAGTCTTATCTAGACCCATTCTTAATTTTTGAACCTTAGACAAGAATGCTAATGTCTTTTTTCCACACCGCAAATTCCACTATAAACAGACACTATAAGGTTTGTAATGCCAAAAATGTTGGGCCTTGAAGCCAAGAAATGTAGATTCAGTTCTGAGTGTTAGTATTGAAGTTTGTCTGTGATACAGTTTTCTCTAAAATGAGTTTATTTACATCAAAGAAGTTTGCAAGTGTTAAATGAAATGAAGTAAAATAATGTATAAATATTTCTATTATAGAAAATGTTATTGTAATTTTGAAATATTACTATGAAGTGTCATTTCAAGCCATAATAGTAAAACGGCATTTAATATTGGCCAAGTGTTTTAAAAATCTAATAAATGTGTATATTTTACAAAAGTAGAAATGATTATTTGCAAAACAGATTATAATGAAATGTGATCATATATGTATGAAATTAAAATATGCAAATGGAAAGACAGCCAATAGTTTAGAACAATGTTACTTGCAAGTTTTAGCCACGTCTTGGGCCAGTGAACAAAAACATCTCCTGATTAGATCTGAGGATAGTTACAGAATTAACTATCTGATAGTTACAGAATTATCTTAAATTTTCCTCGTCAGGAAACACACAGGAAATACATACACATGCAGGATTCAAATGTGTTGAAGTAAACAAGGTTAAGAAAATTCCCTAAAAGAAAAATAGGTTGGCAACTATAACTTCTGAGGTAAATTCCAAATTCAGTACACTCTGTGCAAGTACCTGCAACTGTAATTAATATTCTTCCCAGGCTAACCCATTATCTGATGGTTCTCTGTTTGGTTTATTGTTATGGTTCACTAATGAGTCTGGTAAATTAAAAGATTTCTACTTTATTTCTTATTTCTTATTTTCTTGTAAACTCCAAAGGACCACTGGACTTTTTGTATAACAAACATTTTTAAATATTTCATTTTGGTTTCCTTGTGAACCAATATTTAAAGCAATGTTTTCTTAGCTTCAACACACATTACTCACTTAAAACTACACAGAAAAAGACTAAAAAGTACATGCAAATTTTTACAAAACAGGTTTCAATATGCTACTTGATTTCAGAAACTGGGATATACTCAAGAATTTATGCCATTTATAGTTATTTATAATTTTGGTTAATATAATTAATTTGAGGCTTTTAGTTAATTCCTCCAAATTGATTTATACTTTATTTCAACTTGGTATCATCATCTAATAATTCAGTACTATTTGTAACAAGCTTCCTGAATTGAAATAAACATTAATTTTGATTTATTTTTACTCTATTAATTTACAATGAATTAAATTTCAGATTATTTAAAAGTAATATACTTTGCTACTCCCAGTAGCAATGACAATATCTTTGTTCATTACAGAAAAGCACTTAAAAAGCACATATCCAAAATACACATTGCATTTGATCATGTAGAGCAAGTCAGGTACACCAAAAGTTGTGCAGTTCAGATTGAAAATTAAACAAGTTAATGACTCTGTAAACTGATAAGTAGTTAACAATTGCATATTAGAGAACATGTTGACATAAAAGCGGTAAGTCATTTATAACATCTAACCTCATTATATTGGTCTGCATTATAATGATCTTCATCATTTAAACATCATGTATAAATAGCCTAAGTATAAAATGAAAGTTTTATAATAATCCAAATTGGATTGTAAATCACTTCAAATATCAACTTATACATACGATGTGAAATGCCATTGGGTATAGTTTTAATACTTTTTAAGCATAAAATATAGGAAGATTGATAACTTGAAAATAATGCAAACCTGATTTTTAGATAAAGCCTAGTGACTAAGCAAACAGTTACTACTTTTTTCCTGTCCTTGTTATATAACTTCTTAGGAGTATTTATACAGTAGCGTCATCTCCCATCATCTGGGTGATGGGAAAAATCCCTTAATCTTTTTTATTTAAAGAAAAATCATACAACTTACCTTTGAAATGGCTAAGATGGATTTTTCAATCAAATGCTCCAACATTTGGACAATTCTTAATAGGATCAAATGGTATTCTGCAGAAAAGTCCTACACTGCAGTCCTCATTACATAAATGTGTGAGAGTTTAAATATGCAACCACACCCCCCTCCCAAAAAAAAAAAAAAAAGCAAAAAAAAAAGTACTCTACAATGTTAGATCCCAGTGTGTGGTTTGTTGCCAGAGGAACTGAAAGAAAAAAAAAAAATCCCCACATAGCACATTACTGATATGGCTAATAAGGGTCTATTTTAATGTTCTGGTGAAGACCCATTACCTATATCTGAGATACTCAGCATTACTTTTTTTTTTTTTTTTTTTTTTGGCCATTTTCCATCCAACTAAGTCAGAGGCCAGAAAAACAAAGGGAACTCACTTGCTGAGCTTTCCCTAACATATTCTCAGAGGCTGAACTGAGACCGGGGATGAAAAGAGTAAATTGGGAAGAATAATCATATTCTCACTTCCCTGTCTTGACTGAGCTTGTAAAACTTATTTCATTAAGTTTAAATTTAATGTACTTTTTATACAGTGTAATTCTGAAATACTGTGAGACTAATAATTTTGAAAACAATTGGAGACTGTCAATCAGCAAGGATGACAAACTGACTTTAAAAAAGGAAACAGCCTATTGTTCTAGCTGGGAATTCTTAACTGTTTATCATTTCTGTTAGTTTCGCAAAAAATTCGTGATCACAGCACAGATCTCCTACAAAAAATAAATTACTTAAATTTCTTCAACCAAAATATGTCTAAGTAGAATTACTATTGAGGATAATCTTTTAATATAAAAAAGTACTTAAATCACTTTCAAAAAAAGCATTATGTTGATATTGAATCAAAATAGAAGGCCTTGCACTTTGGGGAAAGAACCTTCACTATCAAGACCCTGTTCTCAGAATCATACAGGAAAACCTTTGCAGGGTTAACCTGGCATCTATTTGATAGGATAGCTGGATAAATGCATTCAAACAACCTTAGAAGTAAAGCAACCTAAGAATAACAGGCAGAAATATATTTAGTTCATTAGATCATATTTAAACCAGTCCTTATAGTTAGAATGCTCATGCTGTCTTTTCTGGGCATGTAAGGCACACAACGAATCCTTTCATTTGCAAGCAGTGCTATACAACTGAAAAAGAACCCCAAACACTCTTTCCTCCTTAAGCATTGTTTTTTTTCCCAAGGAATTTTTTACTGACACATTTATCTAAAAAATAAGAAGTCATAAAAATATTGTAAGTCTATTACTTTGTTTTCAAGTCTCAGACCACTTAATTAGGATTAAGTAAAAATGACTGTATGCAATCTCTTTATAATGTATTCTTTCAGTTAGAAAAGAGTAACTCACAGAGATTTCATGAAACTTAAGAAGGTAATTCTCTTAAATAACGGTGACCTTTCTTCTTGGTGGCACGACATAAAATGGTAGTATAAAGACGAATATTATTTTGGTTAAGAATATTTTGAAGATAGCTATTTTGTATTTAGGCTACTTTGATATATTTATTTCTCAATCTTAATTCTTACGCATTCACACTCTAATATGACAAGTCAGAAAGAGCTTACCAACACAAGGGTTCAGACAAGACCAATTTAAAAGAGCATATTTTAAACATAGCAAAAGACTAAAGTATAATGAAAATATGATCACAATTAGAGAAAGATATTTCAGAAAAAATACATGCAAAATAGATGCCTAGGTTGACATTAAACTTACTTGAGTATTATTTAATCAGTAGCCTAATGCCATTCAAATCTGCTGTCACTGGAGAGGAAAATGTCACAGAGTCCCATGAGTAGTCCAAAGAATCAAATTTACATTCCCAGAGACAGCTGTTAAATGTTCAATCCCATAGACAACAGTTCCTGAGTAGCTTGGCATACAAGACCCGAAAGCACATAGCTGAGTCAAATCTGCCACTGAGGATTTTGAGAAAAATATATACCTTAAACAATAACACAATAAAATGCTGTACCTATTTTAGAGTAGAGTGTGTTGGGGTTTTCATTTTTTAAAAGATTGTGCTCCCACTATATTATGAAGGGATGTGTTTTATGTGAGAATATACCTTTATGTAAATCCACTATAACACTAGATTAACTTATTAGAATGACAGGATATAATTTTCAATCTACTTCAGTCAGTTTAGACACAATTCTTTTTTTTTTTTTTAATTGCAGGAGATCACATAGGGTTAGAAATCGGAAGGATGTAAGTTTAAATCCTCAGGCTACCAGGTCCTAGTTATATTGACTTGCAATTGGAAGTTAACTGCTTGTTCTTCTTTTTCCAGATTTATGAGGTATGAATCATTTTGACATGTGTATACACTGTAAAATGATTGCCACAATCAAGTTAATTAAAATATTCATTGCTCTTATTTTCATTATCAAAGAATAGAGAAAACAATAAAAGAGTAATAATAAGAGCTAAGAGATGAGAAGTGTATAATACTTGACAGGAGCCTGAAAATTACTAGGCACTCAACCCTCCCCATTTCATCACCCCCACTTCCTACAAGCCTCCTCCCCTCTCCATTCTCTGCTTTATTTTCCACAGGTCACTTATCACCATCAAAGAAATTCTGCCAATTGACTTTTGTTTTTGTCCTGTCTTTGCCCCTGCTAGAATGTTGTATTTTTGAGGAGGGGGATGCTTCTCTGTTTAATTCACCACTGAACCCTCATAGTATAGAACAAGCCCATAGTTGGTAATAAGTTGAATAAACAGACACACACAAGACTATTATAACCATAATAATGATTTACAAGTAGTGAGAATGAGTGGAAATAAGAAACTATTATGCTGCTTGTTCATACCATGGATATGTAATGGTTTGATTCGGATTAAGAACATCTGCTAGGAAAATGAATGGAATCTGAGTCTGAATTTGTAATTCATCACTTCCTAAGTATATGACTTATTGCTAACTACTTTAACCTCTCTTAAACATAGTAGAAATATCTCCCTCACAGAATTGCTGTAAAGATTAAAAGTGATCATATGAAGGATTTAGCACAGAGCCTGACACAGTTTTTGTTTAACAAATAATTGTTGCTGGGCTTGGTGGCTCACACCTGTAATCCCAGCACTTTGGGAGGCCAAGGTGGGTGGATCACTTGAGTTCAGGAGTTCGAGACTAGCCTGACTAACATGATGAAATCTTCTCTCTACTAAAAATACAAAAATTAGCCAGGTGTGTTGGCACATGCCTGTAATCCCAACTACTCAGGAGTCTGAGACAGGATAATCACTTGAACCTGGGAAGTGGAGGTTGCAGTGAGCTGAGATTGCACCACTATACTCCAGCCTGGGCAATAGAGACTCTGTCTCAAAAAACAAAAACAAAAACAACAACAAATAATTGCCATGGCCATCACTGGCTATTATGCACAATTTTATTTTAGAAAATGTATTAAGTATGGAGAGAAAGAAATATTGAAAATTATAGAAAAGTATAAAATGATCAATCCCCAATTATATTCCTCAGAAGTAACACACGTTAAGTGTGTGTTAACCTTCCCCCAGTAATTTTATAATTTTCTAAAGTATATTAGCCATTTTTATTTTATTATTTATTTATTTATTTATTTATTTGAGATGGAGTCTCGCTCTGTTACCCAGGCTGGAGTGCAGTGGCGAGGTCTCGGCTCACTGCAAGCTCCACCTCCCGGGTTCACTCCATTCTCCTGTCTCAGCCTCCCAAGTAGCTGGGACTACAGGTGCCTGCCACCACACCCAGCTAATTTTTTTGTATTTTTAGTAGAGACAGGATTTCACTGTGTTAGCCAGGATGGTCTCGATCTCCTGACTTCGTGATCCGACCGCCTCGGCCTCCCAAAGTGCTGGGATTACAGGTGTGAGCCATGATGTCCTGCTGTCATTTTTATTTTAAACATTTGTAACAATATCCTTTTCACCTTTTTTTCCCCCATAAATTGCTTTGTCCCTTTCTTAATAATTAGTAGGAAAATAGTCTTTGGACATTTGACATTTTTTTTTTTTTTATTTTGACAACTTTTACTTTTTTGTTTGTATGTGTAACTTACAGAAACGTTTACATTTTTTTTCCATAAACTTTGAGTCATTTCCTGTTGAGGATTGTATTATGCTTTGAAAGCCTTTATCCACTTTGAGAATACAAAATAAATAAATAAATAAATAAATAAATAAATAAATAAATAAACTTTCATTTAGCATTTGTATAGTTAAAAAAAATCCTTTCAACAGTACTTTTGGATAAGCTGATTCATGGAATGTAACACTTGTGAAATAAAAGAGGAAGAGTACAGTAAGTTGAGTAACAAATATTGCAACATATTTGAGAAGCAAATGACAGATGCATGACAAGAGTTCTGGAAGGAGAATCATATGACCCATGTGATTCCTTTATTAGCAATAGGATTTGTGAACTAGGCAAGACATAAAAATCATTGTGTTCCTGTTGTCTTTTCTTGTTAAATGGGATAACCTATAAAGTCTACTTACCTTTAAGCTGAAGATCAGAAAGTAGATTTAAACTTTAAAATGTAAAATTATATACAGATACAAGAAAATCTTATAGTAGTAGATATCATTTAAAAGAAAATTAAGTGATTTTTTTTAACAGTTTAGCAAATGAAAAGAAGCATTTTAGTATAACTTGTATTGTAATTCTAGACTGAAATGGGTGAACAAAGACTCAAAAATAACGAAAATGATCATACAATAACACAGTTAACACATAATAGAAGCTCACTACCTGTCATATGTGGAGCTAAGTATTTCACATTTATTACCTTGCTGACTAATCATCCCTCACTAGACTCTTTTTTTTGTTTTTGAGACGGAGTCTCGCTGTTGCCCAGGCTGGAATGCAGTGGCGCCATCTCCGCTCACTGCAAGCTCCTCTTCCTGAGTTCACGCCATTCTCCTACCTCAGCATCCCGAGTAGCTGGGACTACAGGTGCCCGCCACCATGCCCAGCTACTTTTTTGTATTTTTAGTAGAGATGGTTTTCACTGTGTTAGCCAGGGTGGATTCGATCTCCTGATCTTGTGATCTGCCTGCCTTGGCCTCCTTGCTAGGCTCTTTAGATGACTAGCTGAGTTCACATAGCTATTATTTGGCAGAAAAAGGGCTGTAACCCAAACAGACTGACTGAAGGACTTATACTCTTTTCTTAAAAGAAAAAAAAAAAAGATACATTTATC